ATTAAGCTGGAGCAAGAAACGATAGGAGAGAGTCCCCAGCAAGTGCTGAGGTAAATTACATCCCATGAGGAGTTTCCGAATGACAGCAAACTGTGGAGCCGGAAGACCTTAGTGAAAATGTCGGCCCGTTGTTCCGAGTCGGAATATACTTGGCACGATGCCCTTCGACTCCCCGATATTGACCTGAAGAAGTGGTACTCAATGCCAAATACTTGTTGCGCGCAGACATCTTGGGAACATTCACAAGAGACAAGCAACCTTGGTTGTCTTCGAACACTGTAGAGCGCAGAGACTGTCAGTAATTACCCGCATATTCAGTTTGATACCAATTTCTTTGAGCAAAGCTCGCATAGGAAGCACTCCCTCATTGACATGCTGAAGCACACATACTCAGCAGCAGTGGAGCTCAAAGTAAGTCAGTCTGTAGCTTGCTGGACCAGATGATAGGGCACCCAACAAAGTCAAGACAAAACCAGTGCGAGACTTGACGAAAACAGGATCCTGATCATCCTCAAATCCATACAATCCGGGAAGTCAGCATCGACACAACATCAAGTCCCTGATCAAGTTTAGGGCTAAACAAATGCCTTTTTCACTTGTGCCAATCCAATACCGAATGATACGTTGAATTGCTTGAGCATGGAAAGCCTGGGATTGTGACTGAAACGTGCCACCTGGTGCACACTAAATTGTGATGTCTGGGCGAGTGTTCGACGCAATATAAAGCAGCATCCCAAATGCAGCTGGGTAGCGTCACTACTTCTTCAAATGGGCCCCCCAGTTTGTCAGCTCCGAGAAGATCGGTGGCGGCAAGGAAAGCTTCTTGCTAGCGTCAGACATACCAGTATATTCGATGACCTTGTTGATGAGTCCTTTTTGAGTAAGCTCAACATTGTCTCCCTTTCTTTCAAAATTAATGCCGAGGAATCCAAGATGTCACCTCTTTTCTCAATGGTGAGGTAATACCAAGTTTCATGGAGCTGCCCAACATAGTACTCAATCAGATCATTGTCCTGACTGATCCAGATTGTGTCATCACAATAATTTAATACAAGAGTTGATGCTCCTTATGAATAAACAAAACATGGGTCTGCTGCCGACGGTTCTCGAAACCAAGTTGGACCACTCCCACGACATAGATGCTCATAAATAATTTGGGTGAATCGGTTCCGCCCATAGATGGACTTGTCAATTTAAAAACACAGGTTCTGTCCTTCATAATCTTTGGGTCGATAGTACTGAGGCAATTCCATGTACATGGCTCGTCGACAGGCTGAGGCTTTGACAGAAAGCAGAGTAAAATCACTTGTCTCGATTGCCCATCCATGTGCAGCTGCAAGAAGAAGACCAGGATCTAACGAGTGGGCCAACCAACAAGTGGAGGGTATGCGATGCCTTCATAGAATGAAGGTCTCCTCTGCAGCACCATCTAGATTTGAACTTATTTAATTGTCCGTCTGGTAACCTCTTAATTCGTGTGCAACCCCTGTTACTAGGAACTGCCTTAGAGTGCTGAGGGCATAGAAGAAGTTGTACGATGTGCCAAGTCCCTGTTCCTTCAAGGCTGCCAATTTTTTGTCCATTGCTGCCCAGAGTGGTCCTCATGTGGTCCATCAGAGATTCCTTCAGAGACGGGAGATCAGGGTCTTTTGAAACTTTGGCCTTGAGAGCAGTGGTGCTTTGAAGAATGTAAGGTGAAATCGATTCTGGTGTGTGGTCAAAGGTGAATAACCAATCACCTGAGATTGCATCATTGCCCAGAAATTGGAGTAACTCACAAAGAGTCAAAGCTAAAGCACAACTCAAGAAGGGATGAAGGAGCGCATATTCTTCAACTTTGGTTCCAGTTCAGAATCTCAGGCTTATTGTTGTTGGCTGTTCTACTGTGATTCGACGGGGCGCGAGGGATTTCTCGATGGACATCTAGTGGGTGGAGTGCTGAGTGGGAGGTAGCCCTGTCCCAAGAAGAGGTAAATTTTGAGTCTGAGGTGGTGGCAGCCGATCTGGAATCTCACCTGTGTGAAACCTGGGCTGTGCTGGAGACGGAGCTTGAAATGAAAATATCCTTCTTTGTCTTTGCTCTCTGTCATACCTGCATAATTTTCTCCATGTCGAAGCTTCTGAAGATGAGATCGGTGGTGGTTGATGGCCTTTTTCATCTGGAAGTAAGCCACTCGTCTGCTAAGGAGGTGGAGTGTCCTCATCAAAAGGGTTCAAAGCGTTGGAAGATGCCAAGTTGGTCCACTTCTAGAGGTGTTTGATTTTCTGAAGAGTAATACTGTCTCAAACCAATCATCATAGAACAAGATGGTACTGAGGGGAAAAGTATCCGGTTGTAAGGTTGCGGATAAAACCAATATTTTCTGAATGGACAGGTGAGGTGCCAAACTATTGTCCTCTCCTGGACCTCGGGCTGCCCATTTCCTTGGGAATCCTTTCCTCCTTCAATGGTAAGCCGGGGTTCTAAAACATATGCAGTGCATCCCCATGGATGGGCATTTCTGATGACTTGATCATCACTGATAGTTCTGGCAAATATCTCAATGGGAGCAATGCCAGTCACTGCATCTCGGAGTGTGGTTGTAAAGTTGAGCTGCATGAGAGACTGCCAAGGGCCACAGGGATTCATCATCAACTTCCGGCCATAGAAGTGCAGCATGGATTATCATTGTTCTAGCTTTGCTTACTACAATTCTAATGGATCCCTCAGAACCCCCATTCTGCCATTTGGACCCGGTCGCAGAATATTTTGATTGTTTGATTGATGGTGGTCCCTAAGATGTTGGACATATGCTTGGCTTGTAGATGCGATTGTCAGTGCGATATGATTGAACCACAACCTCATGTTCGAGACACCATCCTTCGTATGCTTCCTTGGCCATGATAGATCAGAAGCATTCAATGTAAATTGGTGATGGGCAAAGATGGCAGCCGATGCAGAATAACAAAATATTGAGGTTCACAAGAATTTAATTGGCTATCTCGTTCCCTTCCGGCAGTGTGAACCAATCTCCCTCTGACTCTTGACTCCAATTGGTCACTAAAGGTTGTCATATCCGGCTCCAATTGTTCTTTCTTGAGCGCTCCTGTTCTGTCTGGAGCTTCTTGGTGACATTGGTGTGATTATGTTGCCTGACTTGTTTTCCATATTGACAAGCGGTACATTTAGGATGATCACCAAACTTGCTTCTAAGCAAAACAAGACCTCTTTTGTATAAGAAACCACCCAAACCAAGATATTGGACATGGGAGAAGGACAGATGTCCCAATAACTTGTAATGCCATTGTATCCAGATTTTGTCAAAAATAGCAAGGTTCCTGTTGTTGGTACGTAGAACTGAAGTCATTGATTGCAGAGAAGTGAGTGCCTTTCCCTTTGGTTACAGAGTAAGTCGTGGTATGAAACTGGAGTCAAACTTCATTTGTATCATTTTCTTTCCTCCCGTTTGCCATTCAGCATGTTCGTTGTAGACTCTGAAGTTATCTCTGAGTTTGCATGTTTTTTGGTCAAGTCCTTGATTGGACAAGAAAGCTTTAGGGCTTAGGAGTCTGTTGGAAGATCAGGATGAATAATAACCTTCTCCCGAAATGACACAACAATTGCTTGCTCAACCAAAGTCTCCAAATCAGTAATGCCGATGTACTCAATGCACAGACCTCCAGCGATACATACTAGGATAATTGGTTCAGAAATCTTTCTGATAGAATTTGGGTCAACATAACTGAAATTATTGGTGCAAGAATAGGATCATCCACTATCAACAATACGGTAGCACTGAAGACATATGGGCAGTAAGAAGTGACTTGGGCACAGGATTCATTAGAAGATTGGATGCGTTGTTGGAGAGCCAGCATGTGTGGTGTCGTGAGACTGTGTTTCTTTAGTTCTCCCTGCATTGGTCGATCGCTTCGAAGCTGTTTTCTAAAGGCAAGATCACTGGAGAGCTGGAATGATTGTGCCCCAGCTACTGAGTTCCCAATGACCTCCAAGGAGGCCCATACGCTTGTATCTCGACAGGGTTCTGTTGGCCGGACATTTGCGAGGAAGCCTGGTTGGAGTTGGGGTTGAGAAGAGACGACATGGGTGTCCTTAAGAGTTAATTAATGCTTTAAGAAGAGACACCGGTGTAAACAGGTCCGAAGAATCATTGCTGGGAATTGACAAATATGAGTCTGGGTCTGGATCGGGATCAAAATGTTTTGGCCGATTGAATCGTGGAAGAACAGATTTGGTGATGCAAGAGAGCCACTGAAGAATTGTATAACCTTTGAACTTTAGAAGCAAGTTGTGCTCACTTATTTGGAAATACAAACTTTACATCTCTTAGATCGTCAGATTAATCAATACACAATGGTATTGTCGCATCTTTGAAGAACAATCAACTCAGCGCATCCAACACAAACTTTTCAGAACCAAATCCACAACCCATTCGGGCATCCCAATTTATAAACACACCTTTGATTGATTTGAATCTACACAACACCCACCACACTCAATGACTTTGAAGGGTACGTCAAGTTCCTATAGCACGGCGGGAAAAGATCAAGACTAAGGATATCTATGGTGGTGCCTTGACCAATTTGAATGTTTGTGGACTGAAGTAGAGAATGATATAGAAGTACCATACCGGTACTAGAAACATGTGGAAACAGAGGGCACTTACTGTATGCGTAGATCTTGGTTTGAGTTGCCAACGAACAGATCTCTGGATGGATTGACACAATTTGTGTGCCATTTCATCGCGGCATGCAACTTGGAATAGAACATAAATAAAACAATATGCAAATCTATGTACTATGTACTATCTTCTTTACTCTCGTTCTTCCAAGCTACTGAACAAGTCACTTGCCAGACCTTTGCAAAAAAACTCTCCACCCGTAAAGCCATCTTCTGCGTAATTCTTTCGTTTGTATGGAATCGAATAGAATCCGCCAGCGCACTGTCACTACAGTACTTGCGCTTCTTTGTGCTGCATTTCCCTCGTGAAAAGCCTGCTTTTTTAACACCTTCCAGCCGTCAAGATAGGATTGCAGACACCTTCTCCGTAATCAGTCAGAGACGGAACCACAATGCCCGCCACCAAGAGAGCAATCATGACCACAATAAAGGAACCGGCGACCACTTTTGAAATGGTGTCATCTGTATTGTTGCGCAATGCCTCATACAAATCGTATTCGTCCGCTCCATCGGGGATGCCCAGTTCCGCCTTGCGCTTTTTGGAAATCTTCCCGTTAAACAGACGGGTAGAAGAACTGTCAGGTACTCCTCGAGGGAACCGTTCCGTCAAGCTGGGTGTTGTGGTTGTTGAAATCATGGTTCGTGGAGAAAAGCCAGAAACTAGAGGTATCATTTGCAGAAGCATCACAAATGCCAAGGGGGCAAGATGCAGGTGTTGAAAGAACTTCATGATGGAGTGGTGCAGGAAGATAAAAAGTCGTAAGGGCAGCTTGACTTGATTGGAAACTAATTTATTGTGTTTTCTGTAGTAACAGAATGACTACTCTATGTGGTAGATTGCGGCATGGCTGTCCTTTGACGGAGAGCTAACGGTACTGTATCAGATCTTCCCCTTGGTTGCAAGGTTGAGAACGCACGATGAACGCAAAAGCAGCGTCATTGCCATCCTTTGTCTCTAGCTAGACTACTAGCTAGTACCTGATAGATCTGATCTGTGCGTCATCGTCAGCGATAGATGGAGAGGAGTGACTCAGCTGAGTCACGAGAGGTTGAAACCTGCGATTTTACGGATCTTCCACTTCGAAGAAGCACATCGAAACTCCAGCACGGGATCCTTTCAAAAGATCCGAGAATCCAAGCATCTTGACATGCTCCTACTATTACCAGTATATTGTGTTCATTGTTTCCATCTCGATCCACAACCAACAGACTGAAGTGACGAAGTAACAACAATAACGACCATGTCATCCGCTAACGAAGCTGCCAAAATGTTCTACCGGACCCTCGGTAACACGGGGCTGATCACCTCAGTCTTTGGGTTTGGCTTTTGGGCGACTTTTGGTAAGTCGGGAAGATTTGGTGGTAGATAAGGCAGTTACACCATCAGCTTGTCGTTGTGGCTGTGTGTTTCTAATGAAACTTTGTACTGTGCTGTACCTTCTGTCAGGTGTGAAAGCTGGCTTGCTGGACCGAGAAGGAATCGAGCAGGCCAAACAGATTATTAGTGTGGCCCGAGAAGGAGGCATCAACCTCTTTGACAATGCTGAGACCTACGGCAATCCTGTCGGAGAAGCAGAGCGTATCTTTGGCCAAGCCTACAAGGAACTGAGTACAGAGAATCCGGAATTGTGGCGACGTTCCGAAGTGATCATTACCACAAAGCTCTTTTGGGGCGGTTCTGGTCAGAATGAACGTGGTCTCAGTCGAAAGCACATTATGGAAGGAATGGCGAATTCCCTAAAGAGGCTGCAGATGGATTATGTGGACTTGATTTATTGTCATCGTCCAGATGCACTCACGCCAACCGAAACCATTGTTCGAGCCATGACAGACCTTGTTAGATCTGGCAAGGCCATGGCGTGGGGCACCAGTGAATGGAGTGCTCAGCAAATCACGGAGGCCTTCTGGATTGCTCGGATGGAAGGATTGGAGCCTCCACAGGTCGAACAACCTCAGTACCACATGTTTCACCGAGAACGATTTGAAAAGGAATACTTTCCTTTGTATCGGGCTCCGTACAATATTGCGACGACAACCTGGAGTCCCTTGGCGAGTGGCTTGTTGACAGGAAAGTACAATGATGGCATCCCGGAAGGGTCTCGAGTTACACAAAAGGGATACGAATGGCTTCAAAGCATAATCACCGATTGGAAAGAACAAGGCAAGCTGGACAAGGTCAAGGAGCTGAGCGAGTACGCCGAGAAGAACTTGGGATGCACCATGGCCCAGCTGGCTCTGGCTTGGTGTGTAAAGAACGAAAACGCCAGCTGTGTTCTCTTGGGTGCCACCAAGGTGGAACAGATTGAGGACAACCTCAAGGCCATTCCAGTGGCTGCCAAGTTGACAGACACGCATATGGAAGAGATCGAGAAGATACTTGGAAACAAACCCGACAACTTCTGGGGCCATGGTAACCGCAAAGTCCTTGCCAGCCTCTAGCTAGATTTGGTATCCAGCTGAAAACAACACAAGCAGCAGGAATACGACTGCTCTACCACCATGGCACTGAAGAGGAGTTGACGACCGTGTCATGGAAGAAGAACGGTGAAATCGTGACTCGTAGCCTCAATAACAAATAATTAGACGTCGCATATGCAAAAGTACTAAATCAATGTCCTGCTGGAACTGGTGCTTCGTGTGTCGTCCTACTACCGGTACATGCTTCTACTTGATTTCTCTTCCAAGCATCTCCGCCAGACTCTTGTTGGCATAGAGATCTGCCAAATCATCAGCCCCACCAATATATTTTTGATTGATAAAGATTTGCGGGACACTCTTTGTGTTGTTGTTCTTGGCGCATTCCAGTGCCATTGTCTTGGCAATTTCAGAAATGTGGGCCTGCCATCCATTGTGACTGCCATCGTCCATTTCTACTACCTTGTACTCGAGCTTTGGATTATCAATGGAGTTAAAGGTCATCTTTGCCTGGCGACAATAGGGGCAATAGCTCTTGCTAAACACAACGATCTTATTGTTTGCAATCACATCTTGGATTTCTTTCTTTCCTGCCTCGTCCAGTTCCGCGCTGTCATCGACCTCAGTTTTCTTGCTGGCCGCCGCCTCCTTTTTCTTGCTGGTCTGCTTTTTCAAAAGCTCTTCTACATTCATACTAAAGATGCGTATTTTAATGACAAGAGAATGATAGTTGGTGGTATAACTTTACTAGTAGTACAGTAGAGGCGAGAAGAAGAGATAGACTACAAAGAGGCAAACAAAGCTGGTTCTGAAATCTGAAATGAGGATCTTTGTCTGAAATGAGATCTTTATTCGATTGCTCCTTCTTCGACTGGGGCACTCTTCTTTCTTGTTCGATTTGCGGCTCGAATAGCCCTAGCCCTTGTCATGGAAGCACCGTTACCGATTTAGAGACGGTTCGACCTCTGTTCAAAAAGCCAACAATGCTGCTTTGACCGTTCCACCACAAAGTCTTTTCAACCAAGAAGAAGAGCGGAAGAAGAAGAAGTAATAACATGGTAGGTGATGATGGTCGTCGGGCCTGTTGGATTAACTACATGTGCTGTGACTGACGATGATACGATTGTTTTTGTTGTCGTTGTCCATCCATGATTTTATTAGCCTGAAATCAAAAACTCCCACACCGAGGACACACTCCTCATGTCAAGACCCAGCGAGGGCTTGTCTCCGTCGCACGCTTCTGTCATGCGACTGAGCAAGGGAGAAATCGAAGATCTCCGAGAAGCCTTTCGTCTATTTGACACGGATGGGAAAGGAGTCATTAGCATGCAAGACCTAAAAGAAGTAGCGGAATCTCTGGCATTGGAAATGGGCAATCAGCAGAATGCCTTTTCCACCCATTCCTTTCGACATCTCAGTGACATGCTCCACAACGTGCAAGCGGACAATGACGAGGAAAATGATGAAAACGAATTTGTTCGTCTCATGAGTGATCGACGCTATGAGGAAGAGGATTCTCGGGATGAGTATCAACGTGTGTTTGATCTGTTCGATGCCAAAGGCAAGGGATACATCAACATTGCCGACCTTCGACGAATCTCGGAGGAGCTGGGTGAGACCATGGCGGAAGAGGAACTGGATGAAATGATCTCCAAGGCGGCACCCAAAAATGGAAAAGTGACCCCGGAAGACTTCCAAAGGTAAGTCATACTACATGTATTACTAGCTAGCTCTTTACTGCGCTTGTATTGTACTCACACTTGGGCGCCTGTATCTCCATGGAAAGAATCATGACAAAGCGACTGTTTGCCTAGCTAGTTGGTATATCATTATGATGATGTGGAAGTGAGAGCGAGAAAGAGACAACAATTCACTGGTGGTTGAATAGTTTTACACTACAGTATTGGCAACTAACTGCTGTGTCATGATCCCTCGGTTAGACTAGTTGCTGGCTTCCGAAGCGGCAGGGTAGTGTTCACTCAACAATCGGATCACAACTTGCTTTGGAGCATAGGCAAAGATGGTTGCTGGGTATACAGCACTTCCCCATTTTGGATGTGTCAAAACCTTGCAGAATCCAGCATTGTGACTCTTGTACCATATAATAGTAGATTGTAGATTCAGGGTGGCTTTTCAAATTAGCAATATAAAAATAAATTAATGAGAGCCACCAACAGGATAGATTGATGCTTACCTTGTAGTGGAGTAGACACTCCATGCCGTCTACCTCACTATAAACCTTGTTGCAATCCGTAGTGATCATTGGCAGGCCCGAACAAGGATCAATAAAATCCGCCCAGTAACCCTGTGCCAACACCTTTTCGCAGAAATCTCGGGCAAAATCTATAAAACTACAAAGAACAAGAGAGCATACAAAATCAGAAACACCACAAGGTTACCTGGATATATACTGTAGTACAGTACGAGTATGGTATCACAACTCACGTATTGAGCAATCGGTCCTTTTCTTGTTCGACATGATCCCCCACATTGACCAGATCCATTCTGGCGCGTTGATTGGTAGGAATGGCAAGGACATCCAATGGTACAACTACGGTAGAGGAGGAAGTTGCCGGCGACGATTGACGGAGGTACTTTTCCGCAAAGACATGATGGAATTCTCGGACCAAAGGCTTGGGCAACGTGTGGACCGAACACTCCAAGGAATCACCGGAATTGGAATCCTTGGAAATCAGCTTGGGGGCCATCAAAGTACTCATCGTTTTCTGTTTACTTTACAATATCAGTGTTTCTTGGGATAGTACTAGAAAAACAAAGTCAACAAGGTGGTAGCAAATGCATCGATCAATGGCTGCTATTACGTTGCAGCGTGCGTGGGCGTGGGAAATGGGGCCGTTCGACGTTCGAGTGGTTCTGCGTCATTGTCATTGTCGTCGTCTTGAAGTTTGGGTCACGTTCCGCGTCACGTTCCCCAACAATGGTGAGGGTTAGGGTTTCAATCTTCGGGAAGGAAGATCCAAAGTTGGACGCCATGACCGTGACGCCATGACCATGACGCCGCATTTGGCTACCAAAGTACCGATACATGTATCTGTCGTACCCTTGCAAAGGCCCACGCGCAACAGAAGCTTTCGGGATATTGTATCTCCCTTCCAAGCTTGAGCTATGGCGAATGCCAAGAAGAAGAACCGCAAGGATAGCAGCAGCAGCAGCAACAAGAAGAATGAGAAAAGCAATACTACTTCCAAAGGAATGTTTCTGGCAGTGGCCGTGGTTCTCCTTGCCTACTTGATTGGAGGAGCACGCTATTATCTACTCGCATCCAATCTGTGGCCCTTTCAAGGCGGCAATAATTTGGCCAATCTGACACCCGTTGAAAGACTCTTGAAATTATGGCGTGCGGGAGACAAGGTGGACATCCAGAACATCACCAACGGCAACCGAGGTCTGGTGGCCACACAAGATATTGAACAGGGAAGTGTCATTGTGACATCGAATTTCCATGACCTAGAAGGAGAAATTCGTAAAGATTATCCCGAAGTCGCTACGTTGGTGGATGAAACCGTCGCCACTGTCGTCAAGGAACAGGGGGCCAAGTTTGCCGATGAAAACTTGGCATCCAAGATTCTGGGCATTCTGAGGTTCCTCCAGTTGGTAGATATTAAAAAGAATCCCAAATGGGTGGCCTATGCCGAGACATTGCCTTCCAATGTAACCAGTATGGCATGGTATTGGACCGACGAAGAACGCAAATGTCGAGTACCTCGACCAGATGACGAAGTCATATACCAAGATCGAAATGTCTTTCATGGCGTCATGGAAAAACTATTTCTCAGCCAGCAATACACCTTACTGCAAGATATCAAGTCCGAGTGCTCCAAACTTAGACTCGAATGGGGTTATCTCATGCTCCGAACACGAGGATTCGGGAAACTCTTCTTTGTACCCATTATGGATATGAGCAACCATGATCCTCTGCGCGCTGCACCCGTAACCTTTGACAAACGAGCTGCAAAGATCTACATGGTGGCAGCACGAGATTTACAAAAGGGTGATCCCATTTACAACAACTACGGTCACTTGTCTCCAGTGAGTTCCGCAGAATGCCATGGCTTTGTTCAAGATCTAGAAGACGGGGTGGCCTACTTTGAATCTCCCTCCATCCATCGCGATATGTGGAGGAGTGAACGCACCAACAGCAATCCTCAGTGTACCGGTAGTCCCATCAAGTTCTTTGGAAACACGGGAGATCAAATCATTTCGGCGCAATTGGGAACCGGTAAAGATGCACACTATTCCACTCATTACAAGGAATACCGACCCACCCAGCTTTCACATGCTTGTATGCGTGTCTTGATACAATCAGAAAAGGGAAGTGAACTGGCAAAGTACGTTGTCAGCGCCTTTGAAAAAGATTACAATCGGTATGCTGCCATGGCCAATGCAGAGCGCTGTCAATCCTCCGAGGGGAACTTTCCGTTGATTCGAAAGGCCAACTCGGTCATGGCAGCCTTGTTGTGGGAGGCCATGGAATTGGCCGAAAAGGCAGCTCACGATGAAAGTATTCCTTATCCGGGCATTCCAGAACACGAGGAAGCCCTGACGGCAGCAGCAGAACAAGCCAAGAAGGACGTGGCAGCAGCAAAGAATGAGAGTGAATGAATGAACGTCACTTGAGATGGATAGCTTTTCATTCCCTCCGGCAGCAGTACACTGACAATTCATTTCTCTGGCCTCAATACGACCCTCGGAAGGTCATCGAGTGCAAAGTTAAATAAGCTCCGACTCCGTGATTCTCCATGTGGATACACAAGCCTTGTTGATTATACAGTTCGTCGCTGATCGTTGCAATCAAACACACAGCATTCATAATTAATTTTAAAGCTACGGAGGCAAGATCTTGCCTTACGCACTGTACCGGTAACACTTTTCATCAGACCCACCCACGTCGCACCTACAAGCGCGCCCATTGTGCTAGTGCATAATGCCCATTCGCTTTGGCCTTTCCAGAGTCTCACCGAGCAAGAGGATGTAGGAAACAAGCAAAAGCACCTACACAAAAATTACTACCAAGCTGGCTCTGGGCACCATTAGCACACGCCCATTCTTCAATTTCATGATGCTCCCCCAGTTGGGCGAATTCGAGTGTGGCCCCATCCCATGGGCAGCCATTCTCACGGGCACATTGCAGTATTTCCAGATGACCACCTTGAGCTGCATGAGCACAAATCCAATCGTCCCATGGACATCCATTTGCACGTGCCCACTGAAGAATTTCCAAATGGCCATGTTGAGCTGCATTTGCACAAGTAAGAACACACCAGGGGCATCCATGTTCCCTGGCCCATCTCAGAATTTTAAAATTTCCCTTGCTGGCAGCATTGGAGCATGTCTCTGCACCCCAGGGGCGCCCATTTGCACGAGCCCACTTCAAGATCTCAAGGCTGCCACTTTCAGCAGCCCCAGAGCAAGTATCCTCATCCCAAGGGCAGCCATTTTCTCTTGCCCATTCTAGCACGTGCAAATGCCCTGCTCGAGCTGCAAACCAGCATGTCCTATAGTCCCAGGGGCATCCATTTTCTCTGGCCCATTTCAAAAGCTTCAAATAACCACCAAAAGCAGCCCTCATGCAAGTCTGCTCATCCCATGGGCACCTATTGTCTCTGGCCCATTTCAATAATTCCAAGTGTCCACCTTTGGCTGCACTGAGGCAGATGTGTTGTTCGCACGGGTAGCCAACATCTTTGGCCCATTTCGGCACCTCCAAATGACCATTTCTAGCCGCAGTGATTGATACGATGATTGAACCTTCAGTTGGTAGAGGGCATTCGTGGTCCCTAGCCCACTTCAAAATATGCAAATGGCCACGTGCAGCAGCTCGCTTGTATGTGTCTGGTTGCAATGGAAATCCTTTGTCGATGTGAGCCCATTGAAGAACCCTTAGGTTCCCCAAATTCGTAATGCAACTGCAAACATTACCAAACAAAGGCCGCCCTTCAGAGTTGTCACTCAACCAGTATTCCGCAGATGAAACATTACAACATACTGCACTAAGATAAGTATCAGTTTTGACTGCAGCGCGGCGAACATCTCCATCATAAACCATGGGGGGACTGGCTACAGAATCGCAATATTTCCGATATAGACGGTTCAATTTCGTGTTTGCAGCTCCAATAAAAGCATAATGTCCCATTCCCACAAAGGGAAGAATGCTGTCGATCCAGACATCCTGTTTCTCCAGCATCGCCATGACATGGCGGGGATTAGTGCCTTTAGGAGCAGGATGGTTTCCCCTGCCAGCTAAGCCTCTTGTGGCACGCTCCTGGGGGCCTGGACGGTTAAGTAAAAGTTGACTTTGGGGAAAACGGGGTTTTCCAAAGGAAAAGTGTTGAAGTTTCGAATTTCTAGATTTAACAGCACTGAAACTGTTGAAATTGGTTCAACAGTGTTGAATCTCCTTTAAACACTAATTCAACAGAGATTTAACACTTTTCAACAGGGATTCAACACTTATTCAACAACTTCCACACTTCCACTGACTATAGATTCAACAGTAATTCAACAGGGTTTCAACACGATTCAACACTTATTCAACAGTTTTTCAACAATTATGAACCACTTTTCAACACTTTTCAACACCAGTGAGAAGTAGACAATTTGTTTAAGAATAGGGGAACCTTCAAGTCAGTTTACCCAAAAATCCAACTTTTTCCACTTTTACTTAACCGTCCAGGCAAAGGGGGAAGCATTTGCTCTCGTTCTGAATCATCAAAGCGAAGGCGCAAATCATGCAAACGGAGAACCCAGCAATGCGAAGTCGCCACGACCGGTCCTCATAGTTGCTACATGTGCCGGCCCCCTATCAAATGCTTCCACTACGGTACTCTAGCTAGTCTAGCTACTTGGTATGGGCAACTAGAAATTCCAAGTCTGAATGCGACCACGTTTTTCTCACAAAAGAAATTTATGCTTGATTGGTCCTTCGAAAAGATGCAAGCTTCCTTGACGACTTTGGCTCTTCTCTCCGTGGTGGCTGTCCAACCTGCATTTGGGCAGCACGGATGCTACATTGATGGAACCGAAATGTACATCGGGTATATCCCGGTAGACGTCGAATTGCAGGTAAGGGCATAAAAGGAAGCGATGAGCTACCATACATGCAGTGCGGCTTCTCAAATGCGTTTTCGTCCCTTTCTGGTGATCAAATGGTGACACTTTTCAGTGCTGCAGAGACACGGGCGAGCTCTACGGATATCGGGAAGGATTGCTTCATCAAAAGACGTCCAGTGAGCTCAGGGACAGCCTCGAAGAATGTGCAGCCTCGATTGAAGAAGACATGATGTGGAACTTGGACCATCACTGCAACTCGGATTACACCTCATGCAACATCGATTACCACAGTTTCACGTGCGACGACGACGTGATGAAACTATGTCGAAGAAAGGGCGGCAAAGTCGTTGAAGGGGATATGGTATTCAGGTGCAGCTCCTACGGTCAGACATCCCGGCTCAAGTTCCTGAACAAAGTTGATTGCATTGCTGCATCGTGCGATGAAGAGGAGCTTTACACGATGTTCGAAGCCGCTGGCAGCGCTATTGGCTGTGAGGTTTCATCCATTGGAGACGTCAAGGTGGATGGAAAGACCACTTCCTTTTCTTGGAGCGCCAGTGGTTCGTCGGGTTCGTCTGGAAAGATTTGGGGAATTCTAGGAGCTGCATTCGCAGTCCTTGCTGTGGGAGCCATCATTTGGAAGATTCATTCCGAGAAAGTTGAGGCCAAGACTCGCGAAGCCAAGAAACCTGGGGACTTGGAACTCCCTGAAGTGTCCGCCACTGCTGGTTCAGCAGAAAGCGCCGATGCATTAGTCAAGTCAAGCCAAGTACCGGTATCCATGAAGGCGGCAGCAGAGTCTGATTGCCTTGAGAAGGTGCTAATAAAAAAATACCGGATGACGTGGGTTGATGCTAGAAACGTCCTGAGCAGAGCCAAGGCAGCTCTGGGTGGGTCGGTCGATAGGAATGTACTTCTCGAAGCTGCGTACCAAATCTATCAGAATGACAAAGCAATCTCTAAGTGCAGCGATGGGACAGTAATTCAGGCTTAGCGAGAGGAACGGTGAGCGGTTTTTCAAACCTACCTCGACGTTGCCCTCGCCTTCCACAGGTCTCCACTTTCAGCGGATACCTTTTTCATGCTTCACAGTACTAGTACTCTAGAGCGTTGCCCCACGAGACAAACATTTTCCTGATGCCCGCTCAGCGGAGCATCCATTCACACTGATGCCTTTGGTACTGGTAGCACAGCTAGAAATAAATATGCGCCCCGATTTCGACTTGGCTGCAATCGACCAGAACCATGCACCGACATCGTGTCCAAAATAATCGGACCTCGATCTTCTACAACGTTTTGCTTTCGAATTCGATCTCGTGTCCAAAATTATAAGATAACTAAAACGCTTGCCCATTGATTCAAAGCAATCAATTATAATAACACGTTTATGCGAGGGCGGATCAATCTCATCTCTGAGTATATCTTCACTCCCTGGTCAAATTCTCACTTTAGTTTTTCCATCACCACATCAGGCGACCATATTAAGCATTCAAAGCCTAGCTAGTAGGAACTAGTCTATTTGGGAGGGTTTTCCTTGTAGTACTCTTCGATGGTTCGAGTCTTGGGATCACCCATGGCGAACTTGAAAAACAATCCACCAACGATGCCAATGGCAACACCGTGTGCGGCACAGCTTGCGAATCCAGCCAAAGGGGTCATCCTGGCGTAGTAAGCAGTGGGGATGCGCCTCACTGGACCAGGTCCATAAAGACGAGGGTCTTTGTTCACAATGCGCTCCATGGTGGAATCTAAAAAAAAATGGTACAGGTACCGATAGTCGAAAATAGTGAGCAGGTTATTAGTAAACGTTCGTCCGTCGTACGAGAGGACCAGCAACAAACAACATGACGATGGCAAAGGCGCAGCTGCGGCATTTGAGAGTGGAAACCACTAAAAGGACAGCATCGCCGCCATCACTATTCTTTCGATGAACATGGAAGCATCATTCTCTCGAGCGGCTTGTTGTTCATGGTGGGTCCTTGAGATAACTCACCTCCTCAACGTCAAACCGAAGATGCTGTTAGCACAATTCGAGTGTTGTCGAAATGCCGACAATGTGTTGGAGTGACGCTGCTGGATTGTAGCCGGTGGAGCTGCTGAAATTGAAATGGAAGGTCGCGTCGATACGAACCCCAAATGGATCTTCCGACCGGTGATGGGATCCGCTGGATTCGCGGCTCAGCTGCTGCTGCTGATCGCTTCCTCCTCTCAAAGAGCCATCCTCTCAAAGAGCCATCAAAAGAGAGAATCACCATGAGCCTTGCGACGTTTTCATCCAAGATTCTGCGCTCTGCACGAGCGCAAGTGCGAGCCGAGAGCTTCAGACCTATGACGGTGCTCTCAAAGCAATCTGCGGAAGAGTACAAGAAGCAGGTGAGTTCTTTGGGTAGCTAACAACCATGACCTTCCTTTGCGAAGTGCCTTCTAAAGAAAGACCCGTGTGTGCTTGCTGTTACTACAGAACTACACCACCCGACAAAAGGAGCTTGGACGCCCTGTGAGCCCTCATGTGACCATCTATTCCTTCCCTGTGGGTGCCTTGTCTTCCATCACCAACCGTGTCACTGGATGTGTCCTAACCTTTGGAGCTGCTGGTCTAGGAGCTGCTGAACTGGTTGGTGGAGCTGGCACTTCCCTCTGGATCATGCAAACCATCGGGAGCCAAGGATTCTTGGTTGCATCTGCCGCCAAATTCTCGGTGGCTTTCCCCGTTATCTACCATTGTGGAGGTGCTGTCCGCCACTTGATTTGGGATTACTATCCTGAATACCTCGAGAACACCGATGTGGAAAAGAGCTCCACAGCTCTTTTTGGTATTTCCACTTTGATTTCCTTGGGCTTTGTGGTGGTTTAGAAGAGTGATCTATGGATGAGATATTACTTACGACGATGGAATGGAGGAATTAGTAGACAGTTTTTAAAAGCCGAGAGAAGTGCATCTGAGTTTGTCCTATCCCCAAACTACACACAAACTGTTTTAAAGACTTCGTAGAATAAAGTAAAGGAAATAGCGGCACGAAATCTAATACCTATGGAACATCTAGCTTATCCGGTCAATGCGCCACCTCGACGCATCCCTATCACGGGTGCTTGTCGTACCAATTGCTCATCCTCATCTTCCACCTCGGTGCCTTCAGGCTTGACGGTCCGCCCAATGGCAGTGTAGAGTTCATCATCGTTCAAACCAAGTGTTTCAAGGGCGAGCTGCAAGTCACGAGGGGTGATGGATTCAACAACGGCATGGAAATCGGTGACGGCGAGGGGGCCCTTCAGGGGCACGGACTCCTCCTGAATACCAGACATTAACTGAGTCCAGTAGGCGGTAGTGCGAAGCTCTCCTTCATGACGGTTCAGAACAACGCGCTTTGCCGATTCAACATTGTCCGCTGTGATGGGATTGGACTTGCGAAGCGCTGCTAGAGTTTCCTTGCATGCATCGAGCGCCTGTTGCGCCTTCTCCTTCGATGCAGTCACAGTGACAAGGAACCAACCTCCCAGCAAACGTTCGAAACCGGTAAAGGAGAAGTTCGCGTCGTATGTTAATTGTTTGCGTTCTCGAACTGTACTGAAGAGTCGACGATTCGCAATCTCCGAGAGAAGTGACAGGGCTACATGAGCAAACAATGGGTGTGACCTTCTCCTTTTGTCGTACTCAGAGGCCTTCTTATCAGCTTCCAAAACCCTTTCTGCCACCGTTGTACCGTCTGCGAGATATCCCCAAGCGTTTGGCGCTGATCCGGCAACGTATGCGACGGCACGTGGGTCAGAATCTGGAAGCTCCAACTCCACATGACGGCCGGGTTCAGCGAGAGCAGGGACACTGCCGATGGTGACAGGGCTGTCAGTAGACTCCTTCTTGAACTCCGAATTGGCATCGCTCGGAATGGTACCAATGTACTTGTAGATGAGCTCCAAAACCTCAACGACGTCAAAGTCACCAGAAACTGAGATTTCTAGATTGGATGGTTGCAGCTGCGACATGACAGAGTCCTTTGCTTCATCAAGGGTTACCGAGTTCACGGCGTCAACATCAATCGACAGGAATCTGGGAGCAACACGTGATCAGAGGCAAAGCAAATTTCAACACAACCAAGTCCAACAGCAACAAAGAAAGACTCTACCTGTCATCGTTCGTTGTCATCTCTTCCATGATACGTTCCGTGCTCAGACCTTCCAAGTTCTTGAGAAGACTCTCATGGGCACTTCGGAAGCTTTGTTTGCTGCGTCCCAGGGCATCCTCTTCCCATTTGAAGCCAATCAAAATCTCACGTACAATCTGCATAACTGACTCGGTACCCGTGATACCGAGCTTGATATCGTCTCCAAAACCAACGTTGCCGACATTTGTCGTAGGGAACACAAAGTCTACGGTCAAAGATTCTTCGCTGCAGTTGATTTCCACCATCAGTAAATGATCAACGCAAAACAATTCCACCTGTTCTCGTGTCCAGGGTCCAAATGCACCCCCCTCTTGCATGGTTCGAGCCCCGACCGCCATGGATCCTTTCTTGAAGCCCAGTCTCTTTTCCGCGTCACGCCCACCCGGTGCAACAAGGCGCAGATGGCCTCGTTGCGATTCGGCTTGATTTTGAGCCACACCAATTCGAATGCCGTTGCCCAATCGTCGGAGTGTAAAAGGGCGAGTCAGTGAGTTTGGTGCTGTGTCAGGTGTACCATCAGTGAAGCTACCTCCCATCCATTCTGGTTTATTGGTTTCCATGGCTTCCACAATTTTCTCCTCGGGCACTAGAGAGTGCGGTACAACAATCTCCTCTTCTGGCTCCACTTCAGCTTGACACGCGTCATAGATGGTTTGCACCAAGCTATCTTCATCACAGTATGCAACATCTCCAGGTTCCGCACCCTTTGGTGTGCAAGCAACTACAATAACAGGCCCCTCTACAGGATCTGCGCTCTTGTGGAAGCTTGAAATGTGAGAGCACAACTCCGCCGCTGCCAGGTTGACTTCTTCAACAGTCAGAGTCGAGAGAGCTTGGGCAGTGACATGGTAGGATTGCATAGGGGCCATGAAAGTGTGTCCGTTGGCAACAGTTTCCATCAAGTAGGCAAGCTGGTCACCGTGACTAATTCTGTCTCCTTGTGCGGCCAGCTGTTCGGCATCAGTCATCAAAGAGGATGCGTATCGTTCCATTTCTCCTTGTGTGACTCCGTACAAACCCAATTTGCGGATTTCAGCCAGAGACTTGCAAATGGCATCCTTCCAGCGAGTTGGCTCCGCGGTCATGTCCAAACTGCAAACAGCACAACCTTCGCGTGCTGAATCGAGCTGATTGAATTCCACAAAGGTAAAAGCAGGGTCGTCGCTTCGACCTCCTACGTTGAGTCGAATCTGCAAGGCTGCCAAAGCGACTCGTCGGGCCAAGCTGCGTCGGAAGGATTTCAGATCCACAACCGGTTCGACTGGTCGCTTGGCAAACAAGTGCAGAGAAAATGCCTGCAACAATTCGTGTCTGATAGATAGTGAATATAAATAGAATGATGTATGTGAGCCAGCACAATCCCTTGTTCTCATCACAATCAAACTGAATTGAATCGAAATGCATTTATTTCCACTCACCGAAAGATGTGTGGCCGAATCATTTTCTTGTCCTGCACCTCCTTGGTCTCCAAAAAGTCAACCTTTTCGTCTAAAGGATAGGGATCCTGAAGATGAATGTCATAATCCACAATTTCAATGGGTTTTAGGAGTTTCTCGTCCACTTCGAGACCAGTTGGGATACACCAATCATGTCTGACAGGTGGATAGTGCCAACTCTGACCAGCCTTGACGGTGGATTTGACGACGGCATCGGCCAGACTTCCGGCTTCTTCCTTGATTTCTGGGATTTTCATTTCGGCCGCTTGTTTTTCGGCAGTGATGGATCCAAACTTTTCCGCAATGATAGCTTCGGCTTCTTCTGTGCTAACGTCTCCCACCAGATACAAGAGAACATTGTCGGGTCGATAGTGGGTTCGGTGCCATGTTCGCACATCGTCCGTCTTCCAATTTCGAATGAGAGTTTCCTTTCCAATGGGGAATCGTTTTGCCAATCGATTTTCGCGGTGCAATGTGGACAAGATTTGGCATTCGACTCGATATTCAATGGTGTTGACCATTGTCATTTCGGACAATACCGCAGCGCGTTCCTTTTCGAGACGCGAGGGTTCGACCCGTGCTTCCATGACATCTAGTAGTGCGTCCAATGCCATGGGTAGCATGGGTGTTCCTCCCCGAGGTGTTTTAACTGGGCATGCTGCGTAAAAGACAGTGTGATGAAAGTCGGTGTAAGCGTTAGTTTGTGATCCCGTTCCAAACAGCCGTTCCCTCTTTCGCGATCCCATGTATGCGACATGTTCTGTCAAGTGAGCAATTCCTTGCTGGGGTTCCAATTCGTCGGCTACAAAAGAGAAATCAAATCAAATCGATTGGTAAGGATAGACGAGGACAATACGATTCCCTTCCGTAAGAGAAAGGTGTACGTACCCGATCCTGAAAAGACTTGCAAATGTGCCTCGAATCGTCCGGGAGGGCTCTTGTTGGGTAAGATGACATATGAAAATCCATTTGGCAATGTACCACTCTTGACATCGGCGTGCATGGGTAGTGGATCTTGTTCTCCAACTTCCGGATGTGAGTTGTTAAAGTCGGGTCCCAATCGGTTCAAGGGGGAGATGTGAGGTCTCACACTGGGGTGAGGTTCCAACGCCTTGTTGCGTCCTCGAAGGGAGGGTGCCGTCGCTGTCGCCGCCGCCGAGTCTCCTCCTTTTCCACCGAATATATTGGCTAATGAAAATCCGGAACCCGAAGAGTCGTCGGAATCACTTTTGGTATCGTCGGATTTCATCACCATGGTCCGTTCCTGATGATACCCATATTGGACCGATCGCTTGGGTCTGGCCAAGGCCGGTCCCATAAAGGACGACCAAGCGAATCCTGGAGCCGCATACCAACAGATTGCCAAGGCAATCACCAGGCTCTTGGAAACAACTCGTTGGCTCGTCGTCATCTTGTCTTTCTTTGGTTGTCTTCAATATGATTCCGAAACACCAACAAGGTATCTTTCTTCTCAATCCGATTCTACCCTGACTTTAATCAAATCCTAACTGTTCACTCACTCACTGACGTGCTTCTTTCTTGATGCAGTGAACTGTCAAGTGATTGTGATGGTCGAATCCAACTAACTTATTGTTGATGGCTACCTATCTCTACAGATATCTCAATCAATCTCTTGGGTAGAACGACAAGGAAGTGATCTGTCTGTGCTATCTTCCAGTTGTACCCACCCATTCCGTTGTGCGTCAGCACCCAACAAAAAAAATAAATGGCAGTCCCTCCTGGTCAGTCAGGGGCAAAATTAGTGACGTCATAATCATGTTTTCAATTGACAGCAGTTCGGGACCCAACCCTGGTGAGAGCTCCATGCAATCAATCAACAGTCACAATGACGACGATGGCCATGGCCCGTCCCTCCTCTCCTTCGAACGGCAATAGCTTTGATGCCTACTATCGGGAGTTTTCAGCACTCTTGAGGCAGCTGGAAGAAGAGCCGCAGCAGCAACCACAAAAGCCCAGTGCGTCTTCTTCTTCTACTAGCAAAAGTAGTAGTCATGTCAACAACCACTCCAAACCAATGACAAGCCACGACACAAAAGAGTCGCTCCAAAAACAGTGCTCGGAATTACTCAGTCTCATGACATTGGAAGCTCGATCGACTGACTGTCCCGACACCAAATTTGAGCGCCTAGAACGCGTCAAGATATACAAGTTCCAGCTAGAAGCTGTGCGACAACAGCACAATCAAGACTTTTTGATGGGAGATCAGGCCGCCGCCATGCTTCAAGTCAAGGATCAAATTGCCAGAACGGAAATGAGAGCCGCACAACAAAATGAATTGCTCGAACGAGCCAGACGATCCGTATTGGAAACAGAACAAGTCGGAAACTCGGTGCTGCAAGAAATGCATCGCAATCGAGAAACCATCGAATCGGCACAGCGACGCATTGGGACGTTTTCCGTCATGACCGAACAGGCTTCCAAAATCATACAAAACATGTCCAAGCCTTGGTGGAGGCGACGACGGTGAATAGTCTACTTGTTGATCATTAACAGGCGACAAGTTAGTGGAAACCAGAATGAAGAGATCAAGACTCCAGTAACACTCTGCTGGGATTCAGTACGGTACTCTTGGCAAGGGGAGGAAAATGGACAACCAGCTTCAAAATTAATCAGTCCACACTGGCTAGCTACTTAGCTCGTGAGACTAACCACATGTAACTATTAAACGACAACAAGTTGTTCAGAACTCCTAAGCCTCGGTCAGTTTTTGTTGGGTAGTCACAGAACGTATGCCTACGCTAGCTGGTGTGTGTTAACAGTCCTTGCCGGTTCCATAAAGCTTGCCTAACATGGGATCCCGATCCCATGCAGAGGCTCTACGAGAACCTGGACACAGCATATTACAATACGAGCAATTAAGACTACCTACCATCTCACTACAATCAGCGCTGTCGCTGAAGGCGGTCCCACAACCAGCTGCGCCGGTGTGGGGTGGTACCTGGCATCCGTGAAAGGAAATGTGGATGTGTCTTGTGATCGGGGGTGAAACGCTGGGGCAGACGCTAGCTAGCTAGTACTGGCTGTCAGGTGCCGATAGTCTAGTTCCGAACAGAGACGCAGAGGCAAAATCAGCTTCATGTTATTCGAGTCTTCATATAGTTTTGTTTTGTTTGTCATGCATCGGCTTTTTGCTCCGGTGGCTATCGCCGCAGCCATGCCATTTCAAAGTCGACGATTTCATCGATCGATGTGTCTGTGTGATGTGTGCAAGTTGTGTACCGTGGTGTGGTGTGTGCATTGAAGCAGTAGTATGAAGAAGTAGTGCTTCAAAAGGTGTTCTCGTAGGATGTATCCAAGGGTTCCGGGCTTTCCAATCAGGGATCCATTCACTCATTCAACTGGAGTCGAGTGACAGTCTGGCACCAACTATTATCATTCAAACCCTTCACTCATCTCCATGGTTGTTTCGGGGATTGTCGTGTCAAACTCAGTTTGCTGGTCACCCATTTGTCGAACAAGAAGCGCCTTTCGCAGCTTCATGTGTTCTTTAGGAGTGCTGGCAATGATTTGCTTCCATTCTCGTCCAACTTCGCTTCTCATTCGAATAATGTCTTCCGCCATTCTCAGCGGGTCTACCAAACCCACCATTTCTTTGCGACTTCCGCCGTCGTCATCCCAGCTCTTGAGCATGGGAGGAGTCAACAAGAGTTCCTCCAAAAAGTCATCGGCTCGCCCGTACTCTTGATGTCCATCGAAAAACTCGTTGACTCGTTCGAGATAAAACTCTGAGAGCCACGTGAAGGATACATCACGTTCGTCGCCGGCATGAGCATAGTCACGAAGGACACGATGGATACTTTCCTGTGTCGACAGCAAGAGCATCAGATCAAAGTTCCCCTTGCGCAAAGGAGAAGGCTTTATTCCATCATCTCCAATGTCCATGGCGTGCGACAGCAGCATCATGGCATTGTATCTGTCAAAAGCGTTCTTGTGCCCTTCGATGGGTCGTCGACCACTCTTGCTGGAGTCCGAGTAAGGAATGGTGAGACTATCATGCAAATCCTCATGGTCGCTGTCGTCCTCGTCTTCATCCTCGTGAGTAGTATTGCCATTCTCGGTAGCATCCTCTTCTTCTGATCGATCATGTTGTTGTGTTTCAAAGTAGGAGGCAAGGATTTGATCATTGGCATAGATCAGAGTGTCAAAGTCAGAATTGCACTCCGCTGCGATTTGCTCCCGAACAGACACAATCCTGGAGACCAACGAGACAGGATCGATATCAATTTCATAGTTGACTATTTGCTGTGAAAGTCAGAGGAGTTTATTAGATGGGGTGAACCCATGAGAAAAACAATAGACAATCCAAAAAACTTACCTCGTGGATATGGGGATTCTCCTGCCTTTCTTCCTTGGGTTGTTCGGTTTTTTCAAGCCCCAGCCGGTCAATTTGTCCTCTCCAACCACGTCCTCCGCCACCCCGTCTCGTAGTCTTGGTTGCCACCATAGTCGTCTTTGGCTGCGATAGCAACTCCACCAACACCGAGTCCCAGTTGGGGAACCTGGTCAAATTGAAGGCTCCAGTACCATGAAAGTGCTCCAAGTTTTCAGTGTGGATGCAGTTCTGTTTGTGGTTGTAGGGTTGTTGGATGGAAACCAGAGGAGGGGTTAGATCATGAGTACAAGGATAATGAAAACAAGACATGGGTTTCTACCCCAGTTTGTTCCTGTTGTTACCCCTGATGAGATCAATAATTGCACTTACCTGAAGCCAGTGCACCGTGTGAGGATCCCTACAAGAAAGCAAAAGAAACATGAAGGACTGTATGGCTCGTTGTGTCAAGAGATTGCCAACACAAGTGCGAGCTCTTAGGAGTTCCTCCGCTGGAGAGTCTCCATCAGAATTGAATATAGAAGCAGATATTGGCCGAAAACCGCCTCTCTTGTGTCTGCTGCTCAGTTGGGATACGGAAAAGCCAGTTGTTCCCAATGCCGTCAAAGCGACCACCGCGATGGCAGTCAAGGGGCGGACCATTATCATCATTGCTAAGTCTCTCGATTGGAAGCAATTAATTCAAAAACGACCTCAGTGCGGGTACAAATAATGGGTTGTGAGGTATCTTCTCTCCTCAAAAAATCAACTAATACTCAGTACAGTGTAACTCCTGCGATACAAATCAGGGCAATCAAGCAGCCAAAGATACCCACTAATGATCCGTTGATGGGTTGAGCGAAGCGAGGGTGTCAAAGTTTGATGGGTTTTCGCTTCAATTGTGCCGATGCTTTTCGATCTTTTTGTTCTCTTCCGCAAGAATTCTTCTTCTTTTCAAAAGCCATTGAAGCTGTGTAAACATTCAGTTTATAAAGTAGCAAAATCCTTTCAGTCGTGCCTCAGAAGGAAACAACTCTTCACAATCGTGGTCCAAACGGTGCCTTCGCATCAGTCTAAAGTCGTTATCCATGGCTGCTATGGCGCTGTCGTTGCCGGTAATACATCTTCACGTTAGTTTCAGTTGTCGATCGAGGAAACTCACTCGGCCGTGGACGCTCCGACAATCAATTTCATCGTCGCCACGGTCTTGGCTCTTCCGCTGCAATCGTGGGAGTGTGGGAGCGCATTGTCATTGTACTCAGTCGTCATTTCTTCTAACTAGACACGGCACAAAACAAACGGCACAACCATGAACATCCTTTTATTTCGTAGACACAATGGGCGAGCAGATAGACGAGCAGCCATGAGCCATCAAGAACCGCAACAAGTCCAGGATGACGACGATAGCACGGATGATGAACCTGAAGCTCCTCCAGTTCGAATGGCTGAACTAATGCAGATCATGGAGTTCTTTCCAGATGTACGAACAGAGTCCGCCCTGGAACTGCTTGAAGAAGAAAATAATGATGTGGAAGAAGTGCTCGATAGATTGGTCAATATGCAAGGCTTTTATCCGAAAGATGTTCCACAAGCGGCAGGAACGGTCCCAGAACCAACGTCAAATGCTCCAAAGTATGACTTTATGTCGCCAACCAGCTTTGTTCCTTCTCATCGATACAAATGGCAGAGTGTAGACCATCTGGTGTTTCGCTTTCCGTTCCTTGACGCTCGAAAGACCAAGGCTCTCTTTGAAGCCAACCATAGAAAGTATGCCATCACACACAATGCAATCTGCCAGACCATTCTTGGGACATCAAACACAGCCATGGAACTGCAAGACGGGAGAAAGTTTGATGAACTACTCTTGGCCGTGCTGTTTGACAAATCTTCTTTGAAACAGGATGAGTTGGCCCTTCTACGCAACATTTTCAAACGCCAGCAGCCGCACAGCAAGCGAAGCATATTCCTTCCACTCCGAGCCAAACTTACGCCCAAACACTGGAGCCCCCGCATTACTTGTCCCATTCTTGAAGAGGAAATCAAGCATGTCCAGAATGAGATTGTCCAGCTCAAGCTAACCCTTGAGAAGGACATTGCTCGCCGTCGGGCCCGACAAGCGTCTATCACCGCTGGGGAAGCAATGACATGCTCGTGCTGCTACGACGAAGTTGCAATGGACGAGTTGGTAGCCTGTCGGACAGAGGGACATCTCTTCTGTGAAGGCTGTCTGTCAAGCTATGTTGAAAACACCATATTTGGTCAGGGAGGCTTTGGGGTTCACCCAGTGACGAAAGAAGCAGCAACAGAGATTCTCTGCTGTTCGGGTGAGGGCTGCTATTCTGGTTTTGACAGATTCTATCTGAAGAAGGCACTCCCAGAAAAGGTACTGCAAAAGTATGATGAAATCCAAGCGCACATGGCCATTGAGCAAGCGGGGCTTCGGGACAACATGTATTCCTGTCACAACTGTGAATTCATGTTTGAAGTACCAGAGGAGGCTGACTTCTTTGCGTGCCCAATGGAGGGATGTCATTTTGAAGCGTGTCGTCACTGTGGAGAACCACCACACTTTGGAAAGTTGTGCCAAGAAGTGGAGGGCGCACGAGAAACTCTTGGGCGCAGGCGGGTTGAAGAAGCTGCATCTAATGCGGTGATTCGAAAGTGTCCTTCGTGCCGCAAAGGCATGATGAAAACCGATGGATGCAACATGATTACATGCCCATGTCGTGTACGCTTTTGCTATTGCTGCAATCAGAGAGCACGTACCTATCGTCACTGTAAGTGTCACATGTGGCTGAACAGGGCAGCCCTTTCATCCTGGCTAATCTCTTCTGCTCCTTGCCTGTGTTGCTTCAATTAGTCTGTCAGGAACCCCATTGTGAACATACAGATCCTCCAAACACTTGTTATGGCAAGTGCCCTCTTTATACAAATGCAGAAGAAGATGACAAAAGGGCCATGCGAGAGGCAGCAAGCATGGAAGCTGCGAACGTTGAGTCTGAAGCTCTTTTGATCGAGGACCAGCACAACGTGCCATGGGGTGCTCCACGCCCCAAGCAAACCATCACGATCGATGTGGAGAGCATCCTGCGGACGCCCAGGGGTAGCTAAACTGTCGACTAGGACGCCCAGGGGTAGCTAAACTGTCGACTACCCCAAAAAGCCTCGAAGTGAAGAGCCGCCTCGTACGTGTACCAGCCATACCCAAACTGAGCAGCACCGTTTTGTAATAGCAATTACTTCCGAAAGTGAACCTCGAAAGAGCTGCAGGACTTCTTCTTCTGCTCAATGCCACTGGATATTAGACAAGTAACGCAGGCTTTATTCTAAAAGGAGCCAAGGTGAAAACGTTCCAAAGGCTCCCCTCTTGCCTTTTGATGTTGTTCCTTTCATGTATAGCTGGCAACACAAATGTAGTATGAGTTTTATATTAATATTTGAGTTCAATCTCGCCGGAAACCCACTACATCCACCCGTGCTTGACAATCTTCTGCGTTGCCATTCTCTTTGTCACCACAACCACAACAAGCAACGCCACGACAAGCAAAGAGAGAAGAATCCGATTGAAGCTTTCTGGGAGCATATCAAATCCCTTTGATGGTGACGTGCGTGTAAAGAACAAGTCCGGGCCTCCAAAGGCGAAAACCAAAGTTTGCGATTCCAGTTCTGTCGGAGCTGACACGATCTGTGTTGGCGCGTGGACTGTCAAATTGTAGGATAAGGCCTGGAGCGTGACCAATGGGATCAGCTCGGAGTACTGCCTCAAGCCCTCCAGCTTCTCAGATTCCTTCAAGTCGCTCAATGGCCTTCTCGGTTCTAGCACAGCCCTTCCGACCGAATAGATTCGATCTTCTGAGGTTGCCAGGAGGATCTGATGCGCACTGATACCACTTCGAGTCTGGGTTACGCCCAAGGCTGTGACTGGTTTTGGGATGGAATATGTCTTAGCCAACACAATAGGCTTGGTCTCCCGAGCATCCCAGCTCGAGAACTCCGTCGTCTGTTCTGGGGAAGTGAAGGCAGTCAACCCCTTGCGATGAATCATTCCTTCGTACAACGAGAGGACCCCGACTTCTGCCTTGCGAGTCTTTGCATTCACAAACGAATACACGATCCAGTTCTCGCTGAAGACAGCTTGGATGTGCTTTGAGCTTGTGGCTGCATTGGCATGGCTGGCACGGTACAGAACCCGGCCTGAAACAGTGTCAACGAGACTCACAAAGAGATTGGGTTCATCTTCTTTAGTGACTTCAGCGTCTGCCGTGGTAGCTTCAGTCTTCGCCCCTGGTTTGGGAGTCACGCCCAAAGGTTTCTTCTTTTGCTTCTTTTCAGTCTGTTGCTTTGACCTTCTCAGTGCTTCACCAAACGAATCTACCTCTTCGCTATGCGTTCCATCGCGCACTGTCACAATTGCAGCCAGATGTGGATTCAAGTACTTGAGAAGCAACGAATCATCTCCCAAAACGGTACAAGGGGACTGAATCACTTCTGCTCGAAGCGGGTAGACAGTTTGAATAAGTCTTTCGCCGGGGAAAGATGTTTGTCCTACCAGAACAGCCGGTTTTTCGGCTGAAGTGATCTGGAAAGACTCCAATCGAGCAGTAGCATCGTTAGAACCGGATAAGACATGAGCGAAGAATCCATTTGGACTAGCGCTCAAAGCATGGTTGAAGGACGTCGAATCGGCTGGAACCAAAGAAACTGTATGATCTTCGTGCATCAGGGCAGCTTGTTGGCGACATGCACCTCCGCCCACTATGGGCATAACCTGCACAACCGGAGCAGAGATTCCAATGGATCCTTCACTGTGCACTTCCCCGCTGGTTCCATCGATGCATTTCCATCCGATTTGGCTGTCTGTTGTCGCGGAAACCACTAGAACTTCCCTCGCGTGAGTTCCTCCGTGCATTCCATGCGTCGACTTTGCTGCATTGTGTGTTCCATGCACAAGTTTGTGCCACATGGCTCCCGACGGCAGATCAACTGTCCAGGCAGCGGTTCCTCGACTTGGGCCAGCCAATTCCATTCCATACAAGCGATCCGTCCGCTCCGACACCAGAACGGCAATCTGTAGGAATCCAAACAACTTGTCTTTGGAAGAAGAGGACAATAGGTTGGCACCTGCTCCTACCAAGGATTCCCATTGCGACGACAACCGAGCCGAGAATTCGAGTCGCCGAGCGATTTCGGCAGGTTCTTGTTCAGAATCGCCTTCAACCACCAGATCATCCACAACGACGGCATGGCTGGCATCCAAAACAAGTCCTGACGAGATATGGCCCAAGCCCTCTTCTGCCGTCCATGTCCACGAGACGGACGCCTGGGAAGTGTCAACCAGCAAGGCTCCAGTTGTCCCCGACGGCGTGCTGAGAAGGAATTCCGTGCTACCCTCATTGCAAGCCAAGGCAGTCAACGTTGGAGACTTCATTGCATTCTCGGTAGCCTGGCTGGCTGATAGCGCACTCATAGTGACGCTTTTCCAGCTCGCTCCGTCTTGCTTCCAAACTTGAACAGACGGTTCACCCGACCCGATGGCAACAGCGACAGCCGTAGATCCCTGACACGACCCGTAACCGATGCTGGAAACAATTGCTACATCTGGGAGAGGATTCCAGGAAGGAATTTGAAACAAGCCTTCTTGTGGCTTTCCATTTCCGTCGATCCCTCGAATTCTCGCCACCGTGTCACTCAATACCGAGAGTGAACTGGGACGGGCCAAAGCAGCGAATTTGACAGCATCAAAATTGCCCTGTCCGTTGGCTACCCCAAATGACAAAGCATGGGTCCCGTCGGCGCTCAAGGCAACTGCACTCCCAGACGTTGGCATGATGTGAAGCGAGGACGCATCAATTTGCTTGGTGATGTAATCAAGTCGTTGACTGTGGGCAACAGTGATGGTTCCATCGTCTTGGTGCCATTCCAAATCCACGAGCAGAAGGTCTGATCCCGTGGTAGTGACATCGATTCCATCTCGTGAGGAGATCCATCCCAGCAAAACACGCCATTTATCCTTTTCGTCAGTGACCATTTGCAACCATTGGGCTGTTTGTTGTCCAGACTTTCCGTGTGAAGCTCCATTGTCGTTTAAAATTTGTGCTGCACTCAAGGGTTTTCCGAGTGGTTCTCCCGTGACAGCGTCCAATAACAACATTCGATCCTTGGCTACAGCACCAATCCCATTGCGTGTCTCTTCTTCAGCACCCAACGATGATGGCGGCAGCATCAAGAGACGAGGCTGATCCGTCGGTTCCGTCTCCAGAAAGGCATCCCAAATCAATCTGCCAATATCCGCTTCCCAGGCCCGAATGACCCCCAAGGAATCCATGGTCCACACGGTATCCTTGGCAGCCGCCACGGTATGACGATTGCTTTTGCTTTCGGAAGAACAAACATTGCGACGCCACAGTAAATTTCCACTGCCGATGTTGCGACTGGCCACATAGCAGGAGGTAGCCAGAGTGGATGCGCTCAATTCGTGTCCAGCCACAGGACTGTCCGAAGTAATGACACTCTCTCCGGAAGTTGTTGTAAACACAAACTTGGTAGGGCCATGGCCTGTTGTAGCTACCAAAAAATCAGATACGCCCACTTCATCTGCAAACAAGGCATTACTCGCGACGACAAGGGACAGTAGACCCAAGATACAAGTGGATATGGATCGATGGAGGCAGAAATACATCGTTGGGGATGCAAAAATTAAATGGGTATCCTTCTAACCCACAACAGCAAATTGTCGTGTCTCTGATCACTCTTCTACAGATAGAACTCTAGCTAGCTAGCTGCTGAGGCTGATACTAGTAGTGATTATCTTGACAGTAGTCTAGTAAATAGGTATGATAAGTGTTAGTGCTTTGGATTTGGACGGCGGCATCCATCGATCATTGTCGGCGCTCTCTTTTCTTGACCGTCGTCGATTGTCTCGGTCCGTGCTTCGACAGTACCGGTATGATACGGCATTGGAAGCAACGTGCGTCCAATGCAATGAAAGTCACTGGTTTCCACTCCACGCTTTCTATTCTTGTGTGACCAGCGAAATCAACATCATTTCGCAAGATCCACGGCTTGGGACAAGTAAAACTACGATCACGGAGGGCCGAACTAACCCCGTGGATACTGGTACTGGTACCGATGAATTCTACCGGTACAAGTATGGTAGCTGCGGTTGAGAGGATGCGATGATGATTCCTTTGGCTCACAAATCAATCAGGATCACAATCTGAACCAAGCCAAAGAACTCTCACCAGGATCTCAACAGCCATACATTACTTTTCCCTTTTTCAAGATGGCTACCTTCAAGAACAACCGCTTCATGACCCTCTGCGCTCTCGTTTTCTTGGCCACTTCTACCATGGCATCGCAGCAATCTTCCTCCCTTCGTAGTACTGGTACCCGAGGCCTGCAAGAAGGGGTTCTTCTTGATGGCCTCAATGCTGATCCGTGTGCAATCGTCACCAGTAAATCCATGAATAGCTTGAACGGAACGAATCCTTGCCTAGAAGCAGTCGGTGGAGATGCTGGCGCCAATGCACAAAGCATCGACTCGTTGGATACTGTTGCCGAATCTATGGAGGACGAAGCTGGCATGGGCGGTGAAAGCATGAGCAAGGACGAAGCGGGTGAGAGTATCAGTAACAGTCACAGCTCTGACAGCGCGGACAACAGCAACAGCAACAGCAACAGCAACAGCAACAGCAACAGCGCTGATGAGTACGGAACCATCATGACTTCTGCTAGTGAATTGGAGGCATCGTCGGCAACCAGCAGTATGCTGCAATTGTGGGGTTCCGTGGCGGTGCTCGTTGTGGGCGTCTTGGCCCTTGGAGCCAACTAGCCAAAGGTGATGAGGCTCGTAAACGCTCTCCTAGAGTTTTATGTAATGGTGCTAAGTGTCATTTTGTTGTAGATCACTGTTCTTCTGTTTGCTACGGTAGCCAGTAATAGGTAACCATTGGCTAGCTAGCTAGCTAGTGTGGATATGTGTTGTGGGGGTGCGGGCAATGATCTGAGTCCATCCATCCAAAGGTATTTGTCGCAGTCATTTCATTGTGTAAATGTGGGTGGTTGACTCAAAATCTTGGGACAGTGCTGCTACCGGTACCAGGTACAACTGCAGCAGCCTTTCTTCTACTTGCTACAAGTATGACACCAAGCTGGGGCAGATGAAGGAGACATATCTGGATCTAACTCAATTTCACATGACGTTCCGATGAACATGGAATCGAATGATTCAACCATCGCCGAATTGACAACTCGGCCCCACTTGCAAAGATTTTGGTTGAATTTCTCTGCCCCAGCGAACATGTTTTCCATGTCTGTGGCAGCTTTCACATTCCAGCCTGAAATATCCTGGTTGAACTCTGCTGCTTCCTCAAATCTGTTGTGAGACGAGGCAAAAAGAGCTTGTGTAAGTCTTCAGTTCACTCAAAGCAACAACGCACTTCCGAGCAGCTTCCAAATCATTCTTACATGGCTGAGAAGCGTACAACTTTACTGACATCCCAATTATTCAAATCAGTATTGTAAGCTGAACGAGAAAACATTGATGACATGTCTTGCACTCTGGAAACATCCCAGCCATAGACGCCCATGTTGCTAATGGAACTGCCCTGGAACATTCCTGGAGGTGGATGTTGAGTGAGTGACAGACAAAGGTTGATATGGGGCAATGCAAATGAGCAAGGTTGACCATACCATTCATTGAAGTTACAGAGGAGGTGTCCCAATCACGTAGGTCATACTCCCTCTCAAAATCTGAATTTGCAAAGAGACCATCCATGTTGGTGATCTTCTCAACTTTCCATGCGCTCATGGGCCCATACTCCACAAGCGCCTCGGTTCCCAAATCAAGAACTCTCTGGACAGCTCGTTTCAACTCTTCTGTGGTCTCAAATGCCTGACAGAACAACGATGCACATTGATAAGAGCCAGAGAGTATGGACCTCCCACTCCAACGTTTGCGTGCTCACCTTGAAAGTGTCGTCACATTTGATTACGGTGGGTGCAAAAGAAGCAAGAAGAGCGACGGCAATGGATACTTTCATGTTGAACAAACCAAATGGATGGTGGGAGCTGTCTCTTGCCTTTAGTTGGTTTTGATTTGGCTTTGCTTTCAGAATTATGAGACTCTTTCTCGATCCACAAGCAACCCACATGTCCCTCTGACTTCGTGATTGGTGATGAGGCTCGAGGCGCGAGGTGCGAGGTGCGAAACGACTCGACTCCCACGAACTGCAAGATACGATGTTTAAGGGTTGTTTCATAGTTTCACAAGGTTCAGATTCTAGGCCAAATATTGGTCATAATTGTGATTCTATCCTCAGTTCTTGTATCAAGAAACAGTAAACTATACCAGACTGAATCTGTTTCAAGAGAACTGTGAATCAAAAATGAGATGCCAGAGATATAATACATATTTTTGACAGAAGAGCTGCAGAGTATACTGGTATACTGGACCGTTCGACGGTTTTCACTCAGGCTTTAAAAACGGACACGACTGACTCAAAAGTGTAAGGGATTGTTTAAGGGATTGTTTGTTAAGGGATTGTTTAAGGGATTGTTGCAGATTTAAGGGATTGTTGGTGAAGGGATTGTTTGATAAGGGATTGTTTTAGGGATAGTTGAAGCAATAAGGGATAGTTGTATGGTGTTTCCATTTGGCGTTAAAGGATTGTTTTTAAAATGGATAGTCCAATATTTAAGGGATTGATGTTAAGGGATTGTTTTTTTAAGGGATTGTTTTAAGGATTGTTGATGCGTTAAGGGATTGTTTAAAGGATTGTTTAAAAACGGTTATCAGTCGTGGCAATTTCAAGTTTTCTAAATCCTGATTGAAAACCGTCGGACGGTCCTGGTACGCGGTACGCGGTACCGGTACCATACACCGGTACATGTACATGTAGTTTTAAGTTTTAAGACGAGAAAGCTCAGGTGACTTTTTCACCTACGATAAGGCCCAAACAAACAGTCCCTCCTTCTCTGGGCTCCACACCAGCCGATTTCTGGCAACATAAAAATTGTACATTAGGCTGTGCGCAGCGAGCAGCACGTACTATGCATAGTACCGGTAGACTCTATCTCACTCCAGACTGGACAAGACAGCTTGACGATACCTTGCCAAAGCCAGAGCCAAAACGATACCTTCGTTGGCGAAATTTGGTCTTTGTACTGTTTGCTCGTTGTTCTGCCGAATTTGAATTTTTGGGTCCATTGACTTGTTGCTTCATAAGGTGCACCGTTACAGCAAAGTAGAAGCAACCGCCCAGCCCATCCAAATTGCTTGCATCGAGTACAGTATAGCTCCGGGTGGAGCCTTTTGTGGGATTGGCTTATCTGAGGCGGCTTGGAGACCTCTCAATGCTGGCTATCATAACTCCAAGGGAGGGCTTCCCAAAGCTCCCAATTCATTGCCCAGTCTTACGGGACAAACGAAACCCGCATCATTGAAACGTGGATATATATATTTTCTCTCTCTTGCAGCTCACTTTCATTTCAGAAAGTAAACACCAAGCAACGAGACAACACCAAGAAGCAAACACCATGCCAGAAACAAAATCCGAAGAACACCGAATCATCAAGTACCCCAGAACAGCTCATCTCTTTGACGCTGGGGGCACAGCGACAACAACTGATGACCTTGTGCTACCCGACTTGAAGGCAGTTGTATCCACATTTTGCAATGGGAGATCTACAGTCACCATTGAAGAAAAGGTGGATGGTGCCAACCTCGGGATATCAGTCAATCCACAGACGCACGAAATCATGATCCAAAATCGTAGCCACTACGTGTCTGGACACGGCGGAAACCATGCCCAATTCAATCGATTGCACGAGTTCACAAGCCTGCACAGCGAGGCCCTGTACAATCTCTTGGGAGATGGCAACACCATCTTGTATGGAGAATGGCTTGTCGCGAGACACTCCATTGAATATCACAGACTTCCCGACATTTTTGTGGCTTTTGATCTTTTTGACAAGACGACTGGCAATTTTTTCTCAAGACAGCGGTTCCACGCCGCTCAGCATGGTACATGCATTCCGACTGTCCCTGTGATCGAACAAAGGACCTTCACCAGAGCGGACGCCAAGGGATTCCGAGAGACGCTGCTTCGTCTGTTGGATACCAAGTCTTCATTCCGCACCGATGGCGGGCCCGTTGAAGGAATTGTATTGAGGATAGACACGCCTCCAGAAGAGGACGCAAACGGAGGCCTCACTTGGCTCGATTGCCGGTACAAGGTTGTGAGGCCAGACTTTGTCCGCGGATGTGGAGACGGGCACTGGATGAAGAGGGCTATTGAAAAGCAAAGAGTTGATTATGAGTTCCGAGAAAGATACTTGAACGAGTGCTACAGCTTACGATAACTGAGTAAGGACAATATCCTTGGCTTTCGGTCTTCCGGTGGCCTGCACGTGTACGGCGGAGTACTGTAAGCAGGCATTAGGCCTATCTTGTGTCAAATTGGGTGCCTCCTTTGCTTCCAAATACTCCCAAGGTCTCAGCTTCGCCTTTATTTTGATCTGTGTACATGTAGTCTAATTAATCCAATCATACCTTACAAGTCCAAAACAAATGAGCCAAGGACAACTCCGGCACCAGCAACGATATTTTGCCATTCCAGTCCCGTGTTGGTTTGTCCATGTCGTTTGGCAGGCTTAACGTGGAAAAGTTTCCACGTTCTTTACAGCACCAGCGTTGGCTCCACGCCCAAACTGTCCGCAGTTGGCTCTTTGATGCTCTTGGCCAGGGTTTCGTTCTGTCCTGATCAACCCCGACCGAAACAATGACAGAATATGGCCCCAAATTACCGGTCGAATATGACAGCGGAACAAGGGAATCTGATACTACAGGCGAATTTGAGCGAAGGTTCGAATCACAAGACATCAAAATAGAACGGCTAGAGACCACCATCGCGCGGCAAGGGAACAAATTGCGCAGCTAGAGACAACGGTCGCGCAGCAAAATGTCGCGATCGAACGGCAAGGCAATATGTACTCACATCAAGGCGTCATGATATTGCAGCAAGGCGTCATGATAACACACCAAGACAATGCGCTACCGGGGCAAAGCAACAAGATTGCAGAGCAAGACAACAAGATCGCAAAATTGCAAAGTATGGACATATGAACATCCCCAAGAGCATGCATAGAGCATGATCTTGTGATCAAAAAGCCACCAGCGTCAATGTTCAACCAATTGACCTAGTTGTTGAATAGTGCAGTACTTGTAAGCAATGATGTTGTTTTCGATGGCATTGTCTTTGTGGGCAAGAGATTGCATCAACAGTCATAGAAAATTAGAAGCTTAACGGCAACAGAAGTCTCTCTCACCACAGCCTTATGCCGACTCGACTCGTATCATCCACACCCCCACAATAAAAAGTACCTTGTTGTGTATCAGGTACGTACTATTCAAAACATGCACGCTAATCCTCATCATCCGAATCGGAATCATCCAGCCCAAGATCAGTAATTGTTGCTGCTTTGCCCGTCTTTTGCTTTTTCCTGGCACCCGTGTCTTGTGCAGGCCGTTTCTGATTGTTGCGGCCATTGAACTCGACGGCTTCCGGGACGTCGTCTTCATCCTCTTCGTCGTTGAACCGTGGTGCTTCGGCGGGGGGCGCCTCTCCCGTTCGCTGACCGTTGGCTGCAGCTTCACAATCGTCGAGCCATTCCGAAAAGACGTCAATGGGTTCGTGCAAGTGATGAATCGGCATCTGATAGGAAGCAGCACACAAACGACAGGTCAGACTTCCCACGGATGCCTTGAAATCCATCTTGCATTCCACCACTTCTTCATTGGCGCAAAAGGGACACTTGAATTGCTTGGCCAAAGTAGCACGTTTCTTGGTTTGTACCTATTGTTTTAGTAAGCAACAGAAGAGAAAGGTAAATGGAACAGAGCACTCACGGTGAGTTCAGTCCAAACGGTGAACGTCGGTGAACTCCATGAAATCAACAAGAAGAAGAAGACATCATTTGGTAGTCTCTTTGTTTACTCACTGGGGCCTTCTTCGCGCGACGTCCCATGGTTGCTGAATACTACTATCGGATAGAAAGGTTGGATTTCGATACTGGTGATTCGATACCTTGTTTGGCGTCTTCCGCTCTCAAAGTTTATGCCTGCGTCCTGTTGTCATGTTGTCATGTGCTTCGATACAAAGACAGCGGAGCTGCCTGTGCCGTACCGGTACGGCGGGATTGACCATGCAAAATTCGACTAATCCATCAAACCTTGAACAGCTCCTTCAACTCATCCGTTCTTCAACTGGTACCGTAGCATTGAGCATGCATCCATCCCAACATTGAGCCACCGAGCTTGAGGGCACCACCACAAAAGACTGGTGAGCAAGGGCTTGTGAGCTACGGTACCATCTAGTGTTGCTTTGCAGTCATAAGCGTAACGCTGGGTAGATCCCAAGGAGAGCGAGGAAGAAGGGAATTGAGGTACGGTATCATCCTTTTTGTTGGAGACCTGTTTCTGGACATTTCTTTTTATTGAGTTGTCGTCTCTGGATTCCTTGTAACCGCCAATACCGGTATCCCTGTGGACGCAAGTGAATTGTTAGCTCATTTGGCTGAAATAATTTTGGTTATCTGCTTGCTAGCTACCATTTCCAATGTCCATTTTTAAGTCGTGCCTCTTGCACCTCTCATGGTGACTTTGTGTCTCCTCTCTTGCCATAACTCTACCTGGTGGTGCCATATCCTTGTGAGACTTTGATTTTGAAGGCATATTGCAGGTGGTGTTCATTCCGAAACCTCAACACTTGGCCCTTTTCAGTTGAGAGTCCAACCTTGTCTACTAGCTAGAGATCGAAGCAGAAAGTTCCAACCATTTGATCCCTGGCTTGCCGATTTGACAACTTGTCTGGACCAGGACATCTCAAGCTATTTGCTGCCATTGTCATGCTCACACTCCTGTCATATACCGGTACCCTATCCCTATGCTTTGCTGTAGAAGAGCAATGATCAGAGCATTTGACTCTTTTGTGAAAGAGCCAGCACTGAACTCCAGAAACTATCTGTATCACGTTGATGTCTGGAACTTTCAATCATACTACCATCAAAGTCACGATAAGTAAAGGGATAAGACGTTTGTATTTTGCCGTCTGCATCCCTCTTTCGACTTGAGGGCTGCTTCGGGAGAACCAATTTCCAAGTTGCAAAACGGTTTCTCTATTAATAGCCTTTGGACCAGTCGACTTGGTATTGCAGGGGCTTCCCTTCGGCATACCGTTGATAGTTTCCCAAGACAATATCAGGGACATCGACAGCCCGAGTAACTCCGCTGACATGGGGTGATACAATGACATCCGTTCGTTTCCACAAGGGACTCTCTTTGGGCAGTGGTTCTGTAGTGAATACATCCAAAATGGCCGCTGAAATGTATCCCTTGTCGAGTGCATTTTCTAGCGAAGGCTCATCAATCACGTCACCTCTTCCGACGTTGAGGAATACGGCACCCCCTGCTGGAGCCAGGACGTCTCCTGACAACATTCCTCTTGTTTGGGGCGTCGAGGGAAGCACAGATACGATATAGTCAGCTTCTTGCAATGCTTGCTTGAGGTCCGTTGTGTAGAAGTCAATTCCATTTCCCGTAGCATTGTCCCGTGGAGTCTTTCCATGGGCCACGACTCGCATCTGAAAGGCTTGTGCTGCCCGACCAATGCATTTTCCAATATCTCCAGCACCTCCTAGGATGGTGAGTGTGCCATCTCTCAAATACCGGTAGGTTGTTACCTGTCTCGATCCTGCCCATGCTTGGTTGGTTTGATCGGCCGCCGTCAGAGCAAAGTTTCGTTCGTGTCCAATGATACGAGCTATACACCACTCGGCAATCGGTGGTCCAAATTTTCCGGCAAAGCGTGTCAAGGTGAATGGCAGCGGCAATTGGAGTCCAGCATCAAACAAGGGATCCACCCCCGCATAGGTGGACTGACACCACTGTAGTTTGGGCAGAGCATCTGGATTTGCCTTTAACAGTTGCGCCAACACGGATGGTTCCGTGACCAAGGCTTCTGCTTGCGCGAGACGTTCTCTTGTGGCTGTTTGGATTTTGTGGGCATCAAAGTCCACTGTACCACCGTATCCTCCGAGCGCTTCGTCTTCAATGACTTCAAGATCAAATTTGGGTGCCGCTTTCCGTAATGCAGGAGCAATGTCCACAATGGATGAGAAGACTGTCAATCGAACAGAACGAGGACCTACTTGTTGCATTCCGATAGTAATGATGAAGGCGATAATGAGAATGGATGCAGATAATAGAGATCAACTGCCACAACAAACAGAGAATGGGCCACAGTTGGCGGCTGTGCTCAAAGATCCCAAGACACCCTTGCTTGGGTAAGATTTAATCCATCAGAGCTAAAACATCCCAAGAGCTATCCCAAGACACCCTTGGGTAAGATTAATCCTTCAGAGCTGCTTTACGAAACAAAAAAAGTGACGTCACAAGAGGAAAACTGCCCTCACCCTGACAACACTTTCCAACCCGACCGACAACCTTTGCGAGAGTTGCCACCACATCACTCTCCAATGATCGCGAAGTGGTACTGCGAAGCCACATCAGCACCCTTCTTTCTTTTCGGAACAATCGACTACGTGAGATCGATGCATCACTGAGGCGAGGTTGATGGTTGGCTTCCGGAGAGATGAAAGGAGTTGATGACATTCGTTCCAAACCAAAAAATGGTGGTGATGTCTTGTCTTGTCAACTAGCTAGATATTAGTTAGCAACCAAGCAAGTTACCGGTAGAGGGGAAAAGAGATACAGATACCTTCCATTATTCTGGCAGCAACTGAATGAAGAAGGAAAAAGAACAAGTACAACAACAAGTACAAAAAGCCAGTTTCTCATTGTTTCATTCGAAGAAGTCAGTTCCAGGTTGAGCCTTGAAAATATCAGAATCCATAGCCTCCCCTTGTGTACAAGTTTTGCCAAAGCGTTCACCATGGAAGCGTCGGGAGAAGAGTTGGGTAGGATTGTGGCCTTTGTCAATCGAAGAACCTGGCTCATGGAGGAACCACCATCATCGGATGCAATCGGTAGCAACTACTTTCTGGACAATATTGGAACCACAAGCTTTGGCGATTCCAGCTTGCTTCGTCTTTGTGCGTGGCATCCCACACCGGATCAGTTCACGTCATTTGTGGATCATATGGAAGCCCATCAGGAGTTTGTGGGTGCCAGCAAGACTGGGAAAGTCATTTTTACAAGTGAAAATGACAAAGCCAACAATAACCTTTGTTACCTGGACATGCCCTCGCCACCCAATCTCAGCCAAACAAACCACAAGGGTGTAACAGCTCTGCACATGGCTGTGTACCGAAACTCCTTTCATGCCAACAGCATTGTCAAGCAATTATTGCACAAACAACCATCCTTGGCTTCCACACCCATGCAATGTGGATCTTACCCATTGCACATCTTGTGTGCCCATTCGCTTACCATTCGCAAGGAAATTCTCCTGCAACTCTTGGAAGCTGATCCCAGTGTGGTGTGGCTGCAGGATCAAAACGGGGATACTCCACTTTCTCTCTTGTGGAAAAATGTCCTTCGCTTTCGGTGGGCCCAACAGGAAGAGGTGAAATTTGAAGATGAGGAGGAAGAAGAAGATCCAGGCAACAACTACTACAACCGTGGCCGTATTCGCAGGCCTTCCTGGATGACAGTCATTACCCCGGATCAGTTTGTGGAATTCTCACTTTTGATGATAAAGGCAGCTCTCCACAAAGACGTGTTGCATCTTGTGGATGTGTGTCGCATGCCACGCTGTCCTCCAGTCCTTGTCCAGCTTGTATTGCAACGTCGTCGCAGCAGCAAACTTGCAAAGCACTTGGTACAAGGATCCATCTTTTGGAGGGCTACGGATGAACTGGGAATGACTCCGTTGCATCATGCATCACGTGTTGAAGTTGTCACCATGGACTTTGTTCCAGCGCATGTCCAGGCACTTCAACCAATGTCCATTGTGGATTGTTTGCTCCGCAGCTTTCCATCCATGGCTTTTGTCAAGGATCGCTGGGGTCGGATTGCTCTGCATCATGCACTGGAAAAGGCATTCCATTTTCCGTCTCATCATCTGGATCATGGTGGCACCACCAACGCCAACGAATTGCATCGATTTGTTGCTGCAAACCCAGATAGCCTCCGAATCAAAGATCCAGTATCGGGGTTATACCCGTTTGCTCTGCTTGCAACCAAAGCAACCACTGCCCCTCGACCTTTGGCGAAGAGCTATTACGATGATGACATGATGATGCAACTGGATGAAACAGCGGATTCGGAGGATCATCTTCAATGCGTCTTTCGCTTGTTGCGGCAGTTCCCCGAGGCTGCGCTTTACCTCGACTAGCCAGCAAGGACAATGCCAAGGAACTTGCGTACTGTGTGCTGCATGATTCATCATTCGTATTAGACAAGAGAAGAAAGGAGGCAGGGGTTTATGATACGCATCTTCGCATTGCTGCGTAACGAGGACAAGAAGCAACACTTACACAACCGTTCACAACAAATCTGCATACCAGTACTCATACAACACATCTGATGCATGGAAGCTAGACGCTAGACATTGGGAAAGGCAGAAGTCGTAGATAACTAACAATAACATTCATTTTACATAGACACCCAGGCAAACACTTGGCAACATTCGACTGTTGTGCACACTACTAGCTAGCTCGTACTACAGTACGTTCGAGACGGCAGACAGAGAAGAAGCGTCGCATGGATCGATCGACGTTCCAAGACGACTGGGTGCAGGTTCATCATAGACGCATTCGTTTATGGGCAAAGGAATGGACAATCTTTTGCCGTACATCACGCGTGCGTTCTTGACAGACTTCACCGGAGTGCTTGGTTCTATGAATGGCGAGATCGTTGGCAAAGGTTGCAACGACTCACCGTCGAGTTGCCTACTGTCCCTTGTTGGCGTCGTACTTTGCAAGGATTCTCTTGACCTCAGTGTCGTCAGCAGCAAAGCGAACGGACTTCTTCGTCTCTTTTTTGGTGTTCTCCTTGTCGTCCTGCTCGTTGGCGTCGGGAGAGATCCAGCTCTTGCTTCTCGCCGAGAAGACCATTGCTTTGGCTTTGACGAGTTTGCCCTGGATGCTCTCAGCCTTCAATGGTTCCTTCTGAACGACTTGATTGAGGATGTATTCCACAGTCGCTATTTTGTTGAGTAGCGAGCATCCTTTGACAAACTGGAAAAAGCCATGACCATCGCACAGAAGAGCCTTGTGTTGACGAATGAGCCAGATACGACCAACTCGGGCATCGTGATAGTCGTAGAGCTCGACCCACTCCGATCCATCGTGGGAAACAATGAACTTGAGACTCAAGCCCAATGGCAACGACACGTAGAGAGCCACCGCGTTGGTCAGAATCGAGATTGGGACGTTGCGCGGCAGATTCTGAATCGAGATCCAACTCTGCTGGTCGATTTCCGATGTTCGTTGAATGCTCTCCGGCAAGGACAGCTGGCCGTGTCGCTGCCCGTATCGGCGCATCGACATACTTGACGACATGGTCGAACAAGCTTGGACAATTTGAAGAGCCCGAGAATTTAACGCTTTGTCCTCGCCTTCATCGCGATCGAGGAGGTTGTCTCGTGGCGTTGGGTCTATCGTTCTGATGTCACATTCGGGAATCATTAGTCCCTCACCAAGGACACACAAGATCAGATTCTTTTGAAAACCGGCAAGAGGACGAGCAAAAAGCTTGTCTCCAAGAAAAGAGCGTCCATCAAAGAAGCACACTCATTTTGACAGTACGGCAGCAATAAAATTCAACCAGCCCTAAACTTACTTGTGTAAAGCGAAGATGACACCACCACCGGAAGAATTGAAGGCCAAGGCAACTGAGCTTCTACCAGCTCTGAAAGAGAAACTTGGGACAGATGCTGAAGGCGTGAGCGATGCGACCCTCATGAAGTTTTTGATGTGGAAGCCATCGGTGGACCGAGCTGAAGGGAGGTTTCGCGACTTGGTGAACTGGAGCAAAGAAAATCCGTGGGCCTTTGCTTCGACGCCGCTCATGGCCTCGAAAGACGACACTCTACGACGTGTACTAGAGAGTGAAGTGCTTGTGGCGCCCGAGGGTATTACAGCCAAAGATGGCAGCACACTGATGTTTGGCCGACTCCGCAATAACGACATGAGTGATGGAAGAACTGCAGAGGACGTCGTTCGGATGGTGATGTACACCATGGACCGAGTTTTGGAACGAGAATCCACTCAGCTTCATGGACTCACCATTTTTCACGATATGAAGGACGTGGGCCAAAACAACATTCATGTGTCCATTCCAAAAATACTGTTTCGAGCTATTTTTGGCCATTTCCCATTGAGGATTACCGCGGTCTATGTGCTGAATGCTCCCCTGTTTATTCGAGGACTTTTCAAGGTTGTATCACTGACATTTCCAGCCAAAGTACGGGCCCGAATGCATTTTGTGACTGATATGGATGCAATTTTGAACGTCATTGACCAAGATAATTTGTTGGAAGAACATGGCGGCAAGGTGCAGCATGACCAAAAGCAATGGGTGGAAAGCCATATCAAGAGGGAGGAAAATGGATCAATGGAGTCACTAGCAGACTGCGTCAAGACGGAATAAGAAAATAGAATGTGTGCTTGGGATGTCAAACTATGTGAATGCATAAGCAGTGGAAGATGCAAGAAATTACTCAGTACACGATAAGGGAATCTGCTGTCAAACATCAGCTCATTGACTGTGCATCGATGAAACCAGCCATCGCTGGGTATCTTGATTGTTGGCGGCATGCAATTCAACTACGTTCAGCCAATTTGTTTTTTTTGTTTCCAGCATCAGTGGCTGGGCAGCGAGGTTGTGTCGTCTCTACTACCGCTACGGTATGGCATAGGTTGCCCATGGCTGACGATGTACCGGTATTGTTGGCCACATCCGAACTTGCCAAAAAAGCTCTGGGCTGGATCAAAGTAATAAGCTAACTCCAAGTCTGAATAGCTGTCTGAATCCACCACCTCCGTGTTTTTTGTTACTAGCTATTAATAGTAGGCACGTACATCGTACTAGTACCGGTAGCTATGGTAGCGTTGTTGTGGCTGCAACGTGCTCATCCATCAGCTTATTGGGCTGCAGATCGGTTGCTAGGTCTACCACGGTAGGCCACAAAGATCATGTTTGGTTGCAATTTCATGCGCTCCTCCCTTTGCAACCCCACTTTAGGAGGCTTGATTGTTTGGTGGTTGAAGCACGTACATGCATGTACCATGTACTTTGGTTGCCCTGTCCACCAGCTATATATTAGCCAGATGAATGCCGACAAAGCCATCACCGTTGCCCTTTTCATCAAAGAGGGTCCCGCACAACGGCATTGCTCTCCAAATTTAGCGTGTGGCTTGCTCGCGTTTGCCTTTTATTGCAAGCATGTATCACGAGTGTGACTGCATGATGCCCCAGGTTTTCTCGAAGTGCATCCATTCGAGACAAGGAGGTGTCATCATCAGTAACACTTTTCCCTTACTGTTGAACCTTCATCTATCTATCTGCAGTGTTGTTGCCAAGCTGCAGTATACTAACAGTAGGTCGTGGCATCCACACGGTACGGTATCAGAAGCGCTTTATCTTGCTTCGAGAGAGGATTTGAGTTGACCACTAGCTAGCTAGAGGAAAGCAATGAGGCAATTGGCTTGACGACAGAAAACAGGACTTTCTCAGTGCTTGCCCTTGAAGAAAATTCTCATTTTTGTGCATACTCTCAGTGTGAAGTATCATGAGTGAATTGAATGCCCACAGAGGAACCTCCTCTTCAACAAGCTCTGACACTGCTGACATGAAACCAAGGGCATTAGCAAGTGGTGCTTTTCGAGGCAACCACAATGGCTCTTCTACCAGCTCTAGTCGACCGTCTCCCAGTAGCAGCAGTATGGGTGACCAACATCATCCACCCGTACCACCACCACAACAACAACAATTCCCTTCTTATGGCCAGTTTTCCAAATGGGGAGCCACGGAGGATGATGAGAGTATTCACTATCTCAGTGAGCCATCACTCAGTGAAGAGGGTGACTCCACTACGGATCATCCTCTGGAAGAAGAAGAGGAGGACACTACCGATGACAATAGGGAGACTCCACCCCCTCCACCACCAGGACCTCCACCCATGCGCAATTCCTTGTCATCCGCCGCATCCAATGGAGTGGCGTCTCCAGGTAACACAAGTCTCAGTTCTTGGGAGTCGCACTTTCGACCACAACATCCCCACCATCGCGTTAGAATACACTTCTCACCAGAAACAACCACAGATCGACATCAGTACTACAACAACAATTCACCCTACTTTACCCAATATCAAGCGCAACGCTTGTTTCCGCCTCAAAACAGTAATACTACTACTAATAATGAACGAATAGAAGAACAGCAACAACAACAGTCAGGAGGAGAAGATGCTTCCGAGTCGGCTCCTCCCATTCTAAGACCACAGCAACAACCCACTAGACATCACCAACACACAACCACAACAACAACAAGTCATGATTCTTTGGCTTCTTCCAGCAGAATTGCAGCATCGTCACATCATACCAACAACCTGTCCTACTCGACCCATTCCATTTCCACAATATCCACTTTTTCCAACACAGCAAAAGGCAAACATTTGGATGATTTTATTCAGGACTTGAGACACAACAGTCAGGGAGCCCTCCAAGAAGCATCGGGAAATAATAGTATTCTGCTCAACACGTCAACCGAAGAGAGCGCGGCACATCTCGATACCGTCTTGCGACACTCATCAGAGACTCCCATGCGAGCCACACATCGTCGAATTTCCAGTGTGGAAACAGAACTCATTGGAAATACATCGGATGCTCATGTCGAGGAACAAGAAGACGAAGATGCCAATCAGCAAACACAAACAATATCAACACCACAACAGCAACGAGTGTACCCCATGGAGGATGATTCTCCACTCGTCCTGAACTTGTCCGTTCTGGGAGATGAAGAAGATGATGAGGACGAAGAAAAAGCAGCATCGCTGGATCAAACCACTGCCTTGAGTGGGGCACCACCAGCAGGCGATGCCAAACCCGCTTCTTCCAGTACCACTACTAGCAACAATGATTCTGCTGGGACCACGGATGAAGATCAGCAGCATTCTGCAGATGACGAACAAACACAGTTTCGGCCGCCACGACGTAGGACCTTTAATGTGGCCGGTGGAAAGCCGTCGCCGGCTCACAGGCGGACACGCAGTGGCGACGGTGTGGCAGCCGCGTTGACGACAGGTGGACAAGATTGGGTTGGAATGTTCAAAGACAATATACCAATGCCGGATGGAGTAGACGACGACGATGATGATGACGACGAAGAGGAAGCGGATGGCAGTCCTGAAAAGGACAATAAGGATGCTGCTGATGCTCTGGCGAATACTGGAAACGGCAATCATAACATGGAAAGAGCAGTGTTTGCATTGGGTGCTACCACCGATGCAACAACGGCTAGTCGGGCGGCTGCTCGAAGGCAACGAAGAGAGCAACGGCAGCTGCAACGATCCATGGCAGAAAAGGCTGCCGAGCATGCCAGGAAACAAAAGATACAAAGGCAGTTCCAGGAGTGGTCGCTTTCGCCCCTTTGGAACAATCTACAGCATCAGCAACACAACAGCGCTCGCGCTGCCGACTCATCAGAGTCAAATTCCCTAGGATCGATTCCTTCCACCGTTGTGAGCCAAGCAATGCCAACTACTAGGGGCGGTGACAACATCATCGGAAAAAGTCGAGCATACTCGGCCCCTGAAATGCCAATGGAGGACGAAACGGCCCCACTACGCAACAGTTTGGATCTGTCGTTTTCGTCAGAACCGGGCCATGGACTGAACCACATCCAGCCTAGAAATAGTGTGGATTCCCACAAGAGCTTGTTCTCATGGATATCGACCTCGAACCATGATCACACCAGCTTGGAGGCCCTCTCGTCACCTTCGGCTGCGTCGCCGAGGCACATGATTCAGGTTCATCCAAACTGGACTCCACAGGCAGCATCGCTGGCTAGCCCAATTCTTCAACGACGGAACCAGGATCTGCAGCGAACGCGAGAAGCACAACATCAACGCTCGAGAACGTCAATTGGCAACTACCCGACGCTGTATGATCCCAACCATTCAAGCCATTCATGGCGTCAAGAATCGGAAGACCCGTTTAGAAGACTCCTACTTCAGCAGCAACAACAACAACAACAATATCATCAAATCCGTGAAAGCGACTCGTTTCGGATGTATTCGGGCCCATCCCCACGCAACTCTCTGCGATCGCCCAATTTCGCAGGGAGTAGTAGCAACGACCCATTCAATTTCCGTCGGCACAGTACGTCAAGCAGCGGCAGCGGGAGCCATAGCACGACTACCAGCGAAGACGACGAGGACGACGATGATGTGATGGGGGTTATGCAAAACCAGTGCCGTCACATCCACCCCGATATAGAAGTTGAATCCCTGGAAGAAGCGGAACGGACGGCAGAGGCAGAGCTTTTGAAACTGGGATCACAACAACATGTACTTCGGGGCGCTCGAATCTCCCCCTTTGCAAATATCGGAAGAAAGGTAGCTGACTTCGGCAAGGGAAAAGCGTTTGACCGTCAGTCGTTTCTTCCAAAGACCTCGGTCTTGGAAACGTCGGAAGAAGGCAATGCAAACCAACACTTTTTGCCAACTTACCAATGTCCTCGGTGCAATACGATTCAACGAGAGTTCTTCACAGTGAACAGTGCTCCGCGCCAGTATGAAACAGCATCTGGGTTCTTGGCCCTTTCGTTCGTTGTCTACGTTATTGCATCCTTGTACATATTTGGACTCGAGGTAAACCCCGTCGTGAAGTCAGCTCGAGGTGAGACGGAACCGACTTGCACTCATTGCTTTTTCTTTACGATGATATGTAGGAGGGCTGGCCGGCCTTGGATTGCATCTACTTCGCAGGTAAGTCATACGGCTTGGTGTTTTCCTAGCTCTCTATTCGTTACTGTCCCTCATTGCCAACGTTTTTCCTGAAACACAGTTATAACTTTGACTACCGCTGGTCTTGGTGACTTTGTGCCAACAACCCCTTTCAACAAGATCATCTGCTCAATCTTCATCTACTTTGGTGTTGCATGCATTGGATTGTTGCTCGGCTCTTACATTGCTTCAATGATGGATGAATCACAACGCAGGCAAGCGAGAGTGAATAGGATCAATGCGTGTCCCAACTGTATACGTCTTCAAAACATCAAAGATGCAGCGGAAAGACGGCAGTTATCTGCTTTGGCAATCTCTATGAAAACCCCTGTTGTCATACCCACGGTGACTGGCCACGCCATGCCAAAGAAGAAGCATTCTTCAGAGCGCACGACGTTTAGTCAGCCTGGGTTCCCGTACTCTTTCAACACGGAAGAAGACGAATCCGACGAAAGCTTTCAATCAGGCAATAAGAAGATGAAACGACAACATAACAGCGGCAAAGATGTGAACATCTTAGGTGCGGACTTTCGATCGCCAAACCAGAGCGAACAAACCCCTCCAATGGGAGCAACCTGCAGTTCTAGTTCGCCGCATAGTGCTGCGCAAGTGGGTACAAGCACGCCGTCATCTGCGCATCTCGCCGACCAAAGTTTGATGGCGGAAGCAAGCAACACTGCCGGCAGAGCGGGCGGAATTCGTGATCCACCCTCTCATCTTGGTGTGATCAGTTCCGTGCCCGACGGAGCTGGGTTGCCTGCACCCTCCAGATCCCCAGTTTCGCCAACAACGCCTCGACATGCACATATCTCTGCCAAAATATCCCCAAAGAAAACTGATCTGCTTGGTTCCCCTATGACGAAGCAAATCCTTGGAAGGCAAAGTCACACGCGCCATGCCTCCTTTGACGTCAGCGGCATGCCATGTGCCGATGACCTCTTTGGTCGATCGTCGCTCAATTCACGAATGTACAGCTTTGACGCGCCGAGGGTGAATCCCCATCCTCCCACTATCAATGAAAATGTACCTTTTGTCCCTGGGACATCAAGCGCTACACCTCACCAGAACTATGGTGGTGTTCGTTTTGAGGGAGACGATAGCCTCCTTTCCAGTGAAGAGGTGATGTCCACGGACGAATCCTCTGTCTTGTCTTCTGACTCCTACAGTACAGAAGAATCCGACATTCTGGACGTGAACAAAGCGCGTGTCCACGCGGCCAAGTACGTCTTCAAGACGCTCAAAGAGGCTCTGGTGAACTCATTGGCTATCATTGGAGTGGGTTGCTTGGGTTTTTGGTTTATCGAGGTATGTCAATTTTTTACTGCTAACATGGCAACAAATTGGAATGGAAGCAATACACGAAGGAAGGTCTCATATGTTGCTTGTACTCACTCACTTCCCCCCTTCCCCCCATAAAAAGCACATGTCCTTCGTTGACAGTAAGATTAGATTTCTTTTGCCTTGGAGCAACAATCTCTGTTTTTCTAACGAGCTGTGCTTTGCCAATGATTACTGCAGGCTGGTATTTTACAACCGTTCTACTGACGACAGGTAAGGAGTCGAAGTGCGTTGAAGTTTTTCCGCTTTACCAAGAACAAGTTCACTCACACATTGCTTCGCAGTGGGATACGGAGACATTGTTCCTGTGACGAAAGGAGGGAAGCTGTTTGCAACCATTTACATCCTCGTTGCTGGCACCGTCCTGCTCAACAACATGTCAATGATCAGTATGGTAAGAATAAAAGGTGAAATCACGACAGACAAGGGCAACAGTATACTCATGGAATGTGATTGTGTTAGATTCCCCTTGAGCTCAGGAAACGTCGGATCGAACGAGCTGTCCTGACCCAGGTATGTTTGCTGAGCGCACCACAGTACGTTTGTGGACAAAACCCTATGCATCTGGACTCACTCCGGTTCGCTATTTTCTACTCTAGTTTGGTGACCTCTTGGATGATGACGCCCTTCGGGAGTTGGCGTCGGGTCCATTGATCCAGCGCCTTCATTTGTCCAGGCACAGGGCGGACGGCTTGAACGAATGTACACGAGAGATGTTTGCTCTGGCCATGTTGGTTCGGTTGGGCAAAGTTACCGAAGAAGATATTCTTGGCACTTTTGGAGCATTCAACCGACTCGATGTGAACCGAGATGGCGTGCTCAACAGCCGAAGCATCATTGCAGGCATGATTCATAAGAGCAAATCAAAGGCCAACCTGTCTGGAATGAGAAGAGTGAGCTCAAACAGCAATCTGATGAAAACTCCAGGGTTCCGCGCTCCCCCTGCTCCAATGTATGGTAGCCAAGACCGCTATTCAGCCAACATATTCACACCAGCGCCGATGACAACTCCAATCAGCATACCCCTGAACGAGTCCACATCGCTGTTGCAGCAGCAGGACACGAGCCTCAGTATGCTATCAAGGAGTGGATAGCATGACAACCCTGTCTCCGAACGCTATTGGCTTCATAATGCAACCTGTATTGTATACTAAATTGTCAACCAATATTGTGAACTATTGCAATCCACACAACTTTGTACATGTACCCTTGGCTAGACCTATAGTACTTGATGAACTCGTCGCCCAAGCAGCTCGTACATGGAACTCGTACCGTTCGATGTATGGCACCCAATGACTCGTCACTCATACGCAGCCCAGCAAGAAGACATTTATTGCGTACTAGTATCTTGCATGATGCCGGTATGCATACGGATGATGGCACCTTTGGAACCACGAGGCAAATTCGAAAGGTGGAGTCAGCAGCACCAGCCTTCAAACGAGAGTACCCACAATCGTCTCCGACAGCTTGCTGTCGAGCTACCACCATAGCTACAATGTTAGTTGAATGCCCCAGGAATTGGTGGCTGCGGTTTGGTAGGTTTCTTGTCCTCGAGGCATTGTTCCTCTTCTTCGAGAACCACTAGCGTCAACCATGCCACTTTGAGACTCTGAGCCGCAAGCGCCTCCTCGAGTGGATTTTCGGGAGGTTCCATCGACAGTTTGCTGAATATTTTTTGGCCTTCAAAAGATTCGCCATTTTCCTTGAGTTGTTTTAGTAATGGGATCGCTGACTCGTATGTCTCCCGAACGGATGCATCCACCTCCTCCTCGCCATCATCATCATCGCCCTCTGTCTTTTCCAAGTATCCGACCTGCTCCAACACCAAATAAACCACTTGTATCCAAGTACTTCTTAGCTGGATTTCTTCGTCCATCAAGGGTCGATTGGCAGATTGATCTGGACAAGCAGCGACATATTCCATGAGCCGCTGGGGGCTGATTCCCAGAGAGTAGCCAGAAATAACGCTGGCAATAAAGAGTTTGATCGTTTCCACGTATCCCTGACTCAATTGCATGACGCCATTGACGAATGATACTTCAATTAGTTCCGCCACTCTTTCTGGCGAGAGTTCTTCGCCTTCTTGCTCATTATCGTCATTCGTAGAGCTGGAAAATAATAATGGTCTCTTGATATGCGAAGGAACGGAAAGATCAGGAAATTGGCCTTGGCGACGAACGAGATGACACGGCGTGGAGACGAAGGCATTAGCCTGCGGCACTCGTAGTACCTGTATGGATGACAATATGAATAATGGGCAGCAGATGAATCTCATGGTTGGAGAGGGGGTTGTTCCAGAAGCCCGATAAGGATATGATGTAGAAGATCAACAATAGACCATGGCACCATTGCGGAGTGTTGTTGTGTATGCCATACATGTATCCAAAAAAGATGGAGGCAACACTTCTGGGACTTTGCACTGACGTCAGTAGAAACCCAATTCCCCATCTTTCACTGTCTTTGAAACCCCATCCCCGAATAATCTTGACACCATTCCCACGCTCTGGGCAATCACATTTTTGTTTTACTTTTTCAAAAAAGAATTGAGTTGAGAACTCGTGCCATGAAATGGATCTCTTCCCGCCTTGATTATTCATTCGCATAAGGGTTCTGAACGCAATACAGAGATCTGGTGTCGCCAAGAAAAGGAATCGAAGCCGGTTGTCATCAAGAAGTGATGTTGCCATCAAGAAGCTTCTCGCATCGACGACGATGATCTTTCCCATCATTCAATCCCAAAAGATCGTGGTGATGCGAAGGACAATCTGTTGGATTTGGATACGGTGATGTGTGACCATGAGAACTCCGCTCAGGGCTCCACCTCGTGTCGTCTTGACATGGAGCGCAATTTTTCCGCCATTTGAATTCGATAAAGAAACAAGTTTGGTACGTACCAAACAAGAAAAACAAATGAAACCATCGAGATGGAATGTCCAAAATTGCATGCTACCACTAACAGATTTCTTTCTCGTTTCAATGTTCAGGAAAAGTGCAAGTATTTTTACTGTTATTGACCTGAATTGAGCGACCATGGCCACCCAGCGTCCTTCGTCGGTTTCGTCGTTGGTCGGATCTGACCTGCCAAACAAGGAGGAACAGCAAAAAACTCAACAGAATGATGAGGAGTTTCAGCAATTTCAAAAGCTCGAGCCTGAGTTGGCAAAATGCGTCAAGACGTACGAGCGTTGGAGGGGTAGCTACAGCCCTTTGCAACGAGAACGTTTGGAGGCCAATTGTGCCGATTATTACCCGCAAGTCATGCGAAACAGCAACTTTGATCTGAAAGTTGTCGAAGAGGAAGGAAACTCAACAGAAAAGTTAGATGGACGCGTCAAGTCGTTTTTCCAGAACACTATTGATATGAAACCGCTTCAGTTTGAGATGGGAACAGCAGAAACTGCTGCTGAACGTCCGCCGAAGAGGATTGGAGTTGTCCTGAGTGGAGGCCAGGCACCCGGTGGGCACAATATTATTTGTGGTATCTTTGACCGAGCCAAGGCGTACCATCCAGACAGCAGAATCTTTGGTTTCCTTGATGGACCCCATGGAATATTTTCCGGAAAGTTTGTCTTGCTTACGAAGACGATCATCGATGGATTTCGCAACACAGGTACGTCTCTCTTCTGTTTTGTGGTTGTCAGATTCCGTTTTGTGTGGTGCGATTGGCTCACAATCAATGTCCCTTCGATGCATACTTCGCCTCTCAATACAATAAAGGTGGCTTCGATATGCTGGGTTCCGGGCGCCACAAGATTGAATCCGAAGAGCATTTTGCGAAGAGCCTGGAAGTCTGTGACACTATTTTACACTTGGATGGAGTCGTTGTGATTGGTGGGGATGACTCAAACACCAATGCTGCCCTCCTTGGTGAATACTTCAAGTCCAAGGGAAGCAAGTGCGCGGTCAATGGTTGTCCGAAGACTATTGATGGTGACCTCAAGGTCATGCCGTACATCCCTGTCAGTTTTGGGTTTGATACGGCTTGTCGAACCTTTTCTGAGTTGATTGGAAACTGTTGTGTTGACTCTTTATCAGGTAAGTTATTAAACCGGAAAAGTTTCTTTCTGGCTTCATCCCATCTCTTCTCAATCATGGCATCTGTCGCACTCAACTTGATTTGCACCTACAGCACAAAAGTACTATCATTTCATTCGCCTCATGGGACGGAGCGCCAGCAACATTGCACTAGAGTGTGCGCTTCAAACATTCCCGAACCATTGCTTCATCGGCGAAGAATGCAAAGCCAACCAGTGGGGCCTCAAAGAACTGACAAAACAGCTAACAGATATGATTGAGTCTCGATACAAGAATCAGAACAAGAACTATGGTGTGGTCCTCCTCCCGGAAGGCCTCATTGAGTTCATTCCTGAGTTTGAGAAGCTCATTGCTGAATTGAACGAGCTGGGAGATTCCCTTGGAGATCATGCCTCACCTGAGGATGTGGCCGGCAAGTTGTCTGACGGAAACAAAGAGCTCTTCGAGTACCTGCCCTTGTTCTTGAAGAGGCAGCTGACGAAAGACCGTGACGCTCATGGAAACCTCCAAGTTGCCGCCATTGAAACAGAGAAGCTATTGGCAGCCACGGTAATGTCAGAGCTAGCGACGCGATTGGGATCCCAGGAGAAGGCAGCTCTTGTCTTCCAACCACAGTTCCATGCTTTTGGATACGAAGGCCGCGCTGGTTTACCAACGTTGTTTGACTCTGCCTATTGCTTTGCCCTTGGTGCTACCGCTGCCCAGCTAACCATCGCTGAGAAGACCGGTTTCATTGCTAGTGTAACTGGCTTGGACAAGAAGTCTCCCGCAGAGTGGTCATGCGGTGGTGTTCCAGTTACAAGCCTCTGCGTCATTGAACGCCGCAAAGGAAAGGACAAGCCCGTCATTCGCAAGGCCCTGGTTGAATTGTTGGACGATCCCAACCACAAGACCTTGAACAACTCCCCATTCTTTGCATGGAAGACGATGAGGGAGCTTTGTGCTGGTAAGAACTATGTTTGCTTCGAGTCTATTGATTGAGGCGCGTCAAGCAAAGCTTATCCACTCTGTGATCATTGCCTTTCTAAGTGTACGATCTGTACAAGATTCCTGGTCCCATGCAGTTCAATAAAGACAGCTTTGATATCCCATGTATGCTCAGGATCGAGCTTGGAGGCAGTGCTCAGCTCTTATCCAATCTTGCCCATCAAGTCCTCGGCACCACTATAGATGCAGACTTGGTCGCGAAGGACGAAGAAAAGTACTTCAAGGACATTTTGGGGCTTTGCAAGTCTCAGTTTAGCCAGGCCTTGGATGAGAAACAATGCAAGATCGACTGGCCCACAGCTGGGGAACATTTCAACTACGTTGGAGGGTCACGCCCCAAAAGCGCTCTGCAGATTGATCTTGGCAACAAGGGATATGACGTTCCCACTGAGTCGTTTGGGTGCCTCGACGGAAAACCTGGCGCCCAGTTCTTATCTCCGACAATTTTTGAAGCTGTCCACTTGGTTGAAGATGAAACCACCCAATGCATGGAACCCAAAGACGGTCCTTTTGTGTCCAAGGCCTACCCCAACACCTACGGTCGCCCGTTGGTGAGAGTCACTAGGCCCTCGGCTACCGAAGGAATGCAGGACAACAAGGAGGCCGGGCGGATGGGGGCTATTGCGATTGTCTTTTGTGGGAGACAGACGCCTGGTGGCCACGATATGGTTGCCGGTCTGTGGGACATGATCAACGGCAAAAAAGGCAGCAAACCAGCTGTCCGGATAGTCGGCGTCGTTGGCGGTAGCCGCGGCTTCTTCGCTGAGCAAATGGTCGAGCTGACGGCAGCGAAGGTTGATGAGATGCGCCATCAGGGTGGCTTCCACTTGTTTGGAAGGTCACAAGGTAAGTTCTATGCAAGTGCCTTTTGATTGACCTCAGTGGCTTCTACGCCAACTTTCCCCCCTCACTCTGACACCTATACCCGCACCAACTCTAGACAAGTTCTGTAAGAACAGGGAACAAGCCGAACAGATCGTGTCAATCCTTCGCAAGAACAACATTACGTCCCTCGTCCTGGTTGGAGGTGTCCGCACAGCCACCAGCGCATGTGTCCTTGCGGAATACCTGGAAGAGCAGAACGCAAAAGTGCTTCAGACAACTCCGTCAAGCTCGACCTTGCTGAATGTTGTCACAGTTCCCCTGTCCCAGGGTGGCTCGTTCACCAACGAGTTCATCGAGCAAGCGCTTGGATTTGATTCCACGAGCAAGGCAACTGCTCGGTTGGCCGGCAATACTGAAATCGACGGATCCTCTGCTCGAAAGTACTACTACTTTCTCCGGACAATGGAGGGTGGAGAACGAATGGCAAATGCATGTCACTTGACACTTGAAGTTGGGCTTCAGGTAGGTTGCCCGGTCGATCATTGTTTCGTGCTCATGCTACCAACATCTGACCTCTTCAATATATTTCCTTGAAATAAAATGCTGACAGGCAAAGCCTAACTACATCCTTCTGTCCGAGGAAATAAGCTCCAAGAAGCTGTCTCTCAAAGATGTCGTATCAGACATTGCTGACATGGTTCAGCGGCGCTGGGAAGGGCCAGGAAAGAAGAACTTTGGAGTAAGTGTTATAGTTTGTGCCCTGGACTCAGGGTTGAGTCTGTGCAGTCCGGACATGGCAAAGCTGACTCGTTACTGCCTTCTTTGCTGACACTGTTCTAGACTGTCATTGTGCCCGACAACATCATTAGGGTTCTCCCCGAGACCCGCGCCTTGTTATCAGAGCTCAAACAGAACAATTGGAAGACAGAGGCTTTGTCGGCCTACTCTAAAGCTCTGCTCAAGTCGCTACCTGACTTCATGATCAACGAGATTCAGACGAAGAACGTTGACATCCAGCAGATAGAAACAGAACGGATGCTTGCTGAACTTGTGCGTGAGGAGTTGAAGTCGCGCCCTTCGTACGATGGCAAGTTCTCGCCCATTTGCCAATTCCTCGGGTATCAGGTATGGCTTTGACGATGCAACCTAGCACGACTTGCATTTTGTGCAACTCTTCTCAGCTTTTGTGTGTCATTGATTCGATTCCAATCGTCAGGCCCGCGGATCACTCCCCAGCGTCTTTGACAGCAACTATGGATATGCGCTGGGTGGCGGTGTTGCTGTCCTCCTTCGCGAGAACCGCAACGGTTACATGGCATCGGCAGCGAATCTATGCTCAAACAAGAACAGGACGACCGTCTTTGGTGTGCCCCTCACGGCAATGCTCGAAGTCCGCGCTGTTGGCGAGTTACCCGAGGCCGCCATCTTTAGCCAATTGGTTGACTTGCACGGTAAGCACTATCAGGAGTGGAAACGAATTAGTCCGAAGCTTGAAGACGAGGAGCTTTATGAGAATCCAGGGCCATTGCAGGTAAGTGCAGGAAACGGGTTTTCTGTTGATGGCGGTGACTGTCACTCCTGACATTCTCACGTTTCTTCTTCATTGCAACACAGTACTCGGGCGATTGCGCGCATCTCTTGACGAAGAATATTGCTGGCTCTGAAGGCGACGGCAAACCATCGTATTTGGCCAGCTTGGCTGAACTTCGAGAGAATGCAACGGTGTTGCTTGAGAAGCTCCGACCCGGTGTACCCTCGAGGAAGCTTCGTATTGCCAACAAATCCCTCGAAACACTCCGAAGTGTGTTGGAAGAGCTCTAAAGTCTGTTACATACATGCATACATGTATGTGCATGGACTCAATTGACAGACAGAGGCAACCCAGGTTTCTCCCAAGCTGCCTTAGAATAATTACATAATAAAGCAACCCTAATACATGCAGTTTCAATATAGCTTGCGGTGCTCGTGTGTTGTCGATGACTGACTCACAAAGTCCGATGTCTTGAAACGCACGGAACGATGATGAGAGAAGGGTGAAGATCATACGCGGTCGCGTGAGGGGCTGGAACTCGAAGTAAGTTGATGTGCGCGTTCTTCAACGAAGCCGTGATTTTGCGCAGAACTTCTATGATATAGAGTTTTCGCTCGCCCTCACTCGCATCCCAATCACAACCAGCAATATCTTCTGAAGCTTTTTGATATCGAGGCCCTCGAGGTCGATTCCCAAAACTGCCTGAAGGAAGGGGCCGTAGGCACGGACACAGAAGTCGTATCCCCCTTCAAAGGGTTGCTCCACAGCCAACCAGACTTCGGACGGAATCGAGTAGTACTTTCCCTCTGCACGAGGGCTTTTGCCTCAGCGGCAGTCAAAGCGCCGGTATCATCCATTGTCCCCTTTCTTTGAGCAAACTTCAATACGTTTCTGGTGCGCAAGTGCTCAAGCTACTGTACATGTACTTGTACAGCCGTATCGGTACCGGTACCGGATCAGGTTCGTGGATTTCGTTGGTCGGAGAAGTTTCGCTGCCAAATTGCGAGCCTTTTTGTGGCGGCACACGATGGCTGTCATCCGGCAAATTAACGGTTGTGTAGAAATTGTACCAGGCCTACGAGAATATCCCCGGACAGATCATTGTACACTGTACCGGGACGAGTTTCGATCGGTCGCGGTCATTGGAATCGAATCGAATCGAATCGAATCATTCGTCAAGCAACCAAACATCGTGACTGCAATCTTCATGAGTCTGCAATAATTTCCCACGATCATGATGTTGACATCACTGCGAGGGCACTGACAAGGTCCATCATAGGTCCAATGCACCAGTAAGCCAGCTACAGTTCGATCGCTACCGTACGCTGCATTCAATTCGCGTGCTTTAGAGGCGGCACAGGGTTGGCTGTCCAGAAGCGTCGTTTGATGGGCACCTCTGTGGCAACCGGTACGGCAGGAAAACGACGAAACGAACCAGGATGGTTTACACCTTTTCAACGAGCCATTTCAAGGACGTTTCCTCCACAGTCTACAACTTGCAACGAGCCATTTGAAGAACGTTTCCTCCATCAAGTCCTGCCAACATCCTTCAGACCATGCGAGTTGAGTCTGTTCTGTTCATAAAACCAATTGAGAAAGACTTTGAAAAGCAACATCAACCAAACAATCAATCAACCAAACAACTAACTACTTCACCATGACATCCATCCACAACGAAAAGAACGTCACCTTCGCCATCAACAAGGAAGCCTTTATCGACAGCAAGACCAAAGCTCCCACCAACAACGTTGCTTCGGCTATTGAAATGTTCGGAGGAAAAGGCAAGAAGAGTCTCATTCAACAGCAAAAGGAAAAGTTGGAAGAGAAATGGGCTGCAGAACGGGCCATCAAGATGGTCAAGAAGAGCAAGTGGAAGGTTGGTGGTTCCGGCTATGGCAGTGGCGTTTACAAGAAGCGTGTTGTGTTGGACTTCCAAAACAAGGATGACCAGCAAAAGGTTGATGGAGCCGATGCCAAGAAACGCTTCGAGTTGGCATAAACTTATCAATTTCTCCTATTGTGCGCACCGGCTACCGGTAGTCATATAATGTAATCAATACTAGGATTTGGTGCGATGCCAAAGAAGTGTTCTTGCTTTCTTCTAGCTACTGGTAGCTATATGCAGTAGGTCGGGAGGTATCTCCCTCCGTCGTGCACTTGAATCCCAGCCTCGCGTCGACCACCAAACATCGTGGATGTAATCTTGATGTGCAAAATTTCCACGATGTTGACATCGCTGTGAGGGCGCTGACAATGTCTCCATTTTTAAATACAGTAACATAACAACCCTAACTAATACATGCAGTTTCAATGTTTCAACCAACACGACGCGCCACGGCAGCAGCTCTTGCCTTTGGAGCTTGCAAAATGCTTTCAACATCAACCTTTACTTTTGCGGGTTGCAAAGACTTTGCTTTGTCTTCTGTCTGCCCGAATAACCCCGCCTTCTTTTCTTGCTGCTGCAAACCTGATGCAGAAGCTTCGGCTTCAAGGCGGGCTGCCTCTGATAGTGCAGCTTCCCTCATTTCCTTATTATGTGTTGCATCGAGATCCTTTGTCCACAGAGGACATCCAGAGCACTTCTTATCCTTCCCTTTTCTGTGCTGGCAGTGCGGAATCTGGCAGAAATGCTTGTAGTCCTGAACCTGAAGCAAAAGTATAGTATGATAGTTAGTTTGGTATTGACATGCTGCAGGTAATAGAGGCGTCTTGCTTACCTTCTCGCGGCAAATGTAACAGAAATGAATTCCACAAGCACATGTCATTTTGTTGCATCCACTTTCTTTGACCATGCCTTTTTTGCACGCCGGGCAAAAGCGTATGACAGCATTGGATGCAGCCTCTTCAACCCTTGTACGAGCATCTTCTTCCTGTTTCTTCTCCACTTCATCGCAGCGGAGAGGAATATGACTCTCTTCTCGGCAATGACGGCATGATTCAAAGCGGCATTCCACATTGGGGCACAGAAAGATGTTCTGCGCTTTATCCACTGCAGCCGAGTACCCACACTTGGGGCAGCTGCACATCATGGCAACCAAGCCTGCTTTTTCGACATTGATTCGGCTTTGCAGTTCGTCGTATTTCTCCAAGACCTTTGGTTTCAGAGATCGTTGCAGGAAGAAACGGTCAAATCCCGACGAACAACCATCTCCATGAAAGCAGAGTAGTTCCAGCGCAGGTTCCCTTGTCTTTGGGTCCTTGCCAAAGCTTTGATTTGCAAACACTTGGTTCTCGACGTATTGAGCCAGGCACTCCCCACAAAACAAATGCCCTTCTATTCTGCACTGCACCATTTCATCCATTGCCACCTTATCGTAACAGCACCCACACTCGACGGCGGTTCCCTCCCTGATGGCTGTTTCCCTGTTGACTTTCTTTTGCACTTTGGTGTCTATTTCCTCTCTCCAAAGGTCTAGCTTTCGCTTGCAAAAGGCAGCCTCTTCTGTTAGGATTGAATTCTTGATTCGAGCATTGCTGTTTTTGAAGTTTGCTGGTCTGGCACGGAAATGATCCTTTTTGGGAGTGGCATTGAACTCTCTCTTCATCCGATCCTTTTGTTCCTTGTCGATTGTTGATGATTTTTTGGCTGCTGTAAGTTTTTCGTATTGCTTGATTTCAGAATCTTCAGTTCCATTCAATGAGGCCTTGGCAGTGCTGCGATCTCCTCTGCCCGTCAGAGAGCGAACCAGCTTTTCAAAGGCAATAGCATAGTGATTGTTGCTCTGCTGCAGGAAGAATTTGGCTCCCTTTTTGGTGAGTATGCCTGGGAATTCCAACACTAGTTTTTCGGCGCTTTCCTCAATGTAATCTCTGGTTGGTTCAAAAGAGGACGCCGAGAGAAAGTTGTATTTCGGTTCGCATTTGTTGTTGGCTTGCATGTTGCCCGAGGCGGCTGGTTTTCGGTCTTCCTTGGGATAAGACGGTCCACTCTCCAGAAGCGCATTAATGACATTGGCCGCAACATTGCTGTGTTCCTTCAAGAGTTGGTTGGCATGATCATGTTTGACATCTGGGAAGACTTCCAGCACTTGTTGCAGAGGTGTCTTGGGCATTGCTTTGGTGTGGACAACTTCCACAACGTCATCATCATCGTCTGATTTTTTCAAGTTGCCACGAGGGCGCTTTCGGGTCTCCAACACTTCCACAATGTCGTCATCGCTGTCGGTGTCTCGCTTTCTTCTCGCGGGTGGCTTTGCGGCGGCAACCACAACCTCATCATTGTCCGAATCGACGTCGCATAGGTCTACAATGCCGGCAGCGTAGCTTTTTGCCGGTGGGTCCATACTAGACTAACTTTTTGGACAACAATTTCTGCGCTTCCTTTTGCTATTTGCGGTGGCTCTCTATATGGCTGTCTGATGGCGATAGAATACGCTCGATCAACACGCTCAGCTCCTCGCTTCAATGCATATGCATTCATGCAATCACTATATAATGACCTCAAGTCAAGCAAACCTGAAATATTTGAGGTTTTCGCCTGAATGCAGTTCCAGTGCGGTAGTTCAGGTAAATAAGAGTAAATTAACTAATCAAGATATTAATGTTGTACCGCATCTACCTGCTTTCCAAAGCTGCCTTGGGGTTGTTGGAAATTTTGCTTGGCGCGAAACCCAGCACAACGCCTGAGTCACGAGACATACGGGAATGGACTGTTTCCCCCATTTCTTCTTTTTTTTGCCAATTAAGTCAGCGGGAGCTGCGATACCTCGGCAGAAAGACAGATAGAAGAAGGAGGATCATATTCGAGATTGCACCCATCTTTCAAGCTAGCCCTGGCGACAACACCCGACTACGTCATGTGTTGCCGCCCGGTATCATTCATCCTCATTGCAACCTTCTTTTTATTAAGCTAGCCCTGGCGACAACACCCGACTACGTCGTGTGTTGCCGCCCGCTACTCTATAATTTACCAGCTGCCATTCCCTTATTGTAACTCTAACCTTTACAGCTCCTGCTGGCTTATTGTGCTGTTGTGCTGATTGCACTAACCTTAAATATTAATGATTTATTCCTACCCCTAACTTGTATTGAACCATCAATGTTCAGTTTTGTTGGCTTATGACTATCTCTATCCTTATACTTTGGCTTCACCGGAATAGGAAATAGGAAATAGGAAATAGAAAATAGGAAATAGGAAATAGGAAATAGAAAATAGAAAATAGGAAATAGGAAATAGGAAATAGCATTAAAGGGGTTGAGAACTCAGGTAAGTTCCTATCCGCGATCATGTGGTTCGTACGTACGCCGAGAAACACATTTATTTCCATTTAATAATGGCATATTAATCGCGTATGTGGCTTCATTCCTAACCATTCGCAGAATATGTGCATACGTCATTCGCGAACCTCACGAATTGATTTAAGTAAGCAGGGCTGGGATTGCACTATTTTGAAATACCGGTGTACCACGAAGCCATAGCCAGCCAGCCAGCTACAGTAGCTAGCTAGCTAGCTAGCTGGCTAACTAACTAGCTAGCTATCAACTGACCCATGTCCACAAACAAGAAGGCTAACAAGCATACAAAAGTATTAGCTTGAAGGTTACCCTTAGGTTGCTTGTTAACCTTCTTAGTTGCCGCGGTGGGTCTGTTGGTAGTAGAGTTAGAGACTCGTGAAGCGACTTTTTTGAGTGACGAGTCAGTGGATCGACAGGCTCGAGCGTTTTGATTGGTCCTACGCGAATTCCAAATCCATTCATCCTGCGAACCGCAGCTCCACTTTTTTACTATAAACATTTCCTGCGGTTCGCCGTATCTGTGGATTTGGAGGTCACCTTTCCGAATTCGGCAGTTATTTCGATTTATTTTGATTTGGCGTACGTACGGACGTCATTTTGGCTGGTTAGGAACAATCCTCAGGCAGTTTACCTGCCGAGGTAATTAGAAAAAGTCGTCGTCGACCATGGCCTCTGCTGTCGTCGGAGAAGAACCACCAGCCAAGCGACAGCGCGTGGATGATGTCCCCGCTATTGAAGGCAAAGCTTCAGCAAGACGCAAGTTAGCAGAGGCAGGATTCGACCCAGATGATTGCGTCACCGCCCAAGATTCCATCGACGGGATGACGCCGGCGGCGCACCCAGCATCGTGTCATTCCGTCACACCCATGTCTTATTTCTGCGACATCGGAGACCTGCCCATGTGCCGGTACATTCTTCTCCATGGTGGAGTGACCAAGAGAACTCTTGGAGAGTTTTGGTTTCCATTGTACACATCAATTTGCCGTCGCCATTTGGACATTGCCCGGTGGTTGTTTCAGAATGGGGCTTGGGTCGATGTTCACACAAAGAATTTGAATGGCAGGAGCCCCTTTGCTCTCTGCTGGGATGAATTTGATGACAATCAAGTGGAAATGGGAAAATGGTTCTTGGTGAATGGAGCCCTAAAAGATTTGGAGGCAAGCTCTTTGGCAGGGCTTCTGCGAGATCGTGTGGGCGGGGTAGATTTTAGGCCTCAGCTACTCTGCTGGTCACAGGTCGAGCAGATTAAACATGACAGCTTTCAAGCATTCCTTATGGGAACTTTTGTTGTTCCAGAGTTTTCCGCTCATGCACTCTCCACCAAACTGGTGGCAAAGCTTGGCTCCGAGGAAGCTGCTGATATTGTCGTTGAGAGTCTTGGCAAGCCAAAAGGTGAGAGGTTGTGGACAAAATTGACGGCACATCACAAGGAGTCCCCTGTTCAGAAGATTAGTGGGAATTTTGGTGCTCTGAAGTGCATTGCAGAGTTTGTGGGAGGTGTCCTTGGTGTGAACAAGAAACAGATTGAACGTCACCGCCGCCTGACTGAGATGTTGTCAATAAGTTTGAGAGAAGTCGTCCCATCGTACGATTCAGACGATAGTGATGAAGGCTATGGGGATGATGATGGCGATGATGATGGCGACTACTAAGGACGGGAATATAATGCATGGTTGACCTAGCTGCAATTTTTGGATGAAGGACATAAAGTAGGTTGCTAAATCCCGAGTGACAGTCTACCGGTACCACGCAGGCAGTATACTAAATAAACCAACAATTGCCCTCAACTACCAGCTAGCAAGCTGAGGGCCTTTTGAACTTTATCTTGTGTGTGTGTGTGTGTAGGTGTGTGTACGGTACGTTGAGTGCTGTGTGAGATGTGTGATGTTGTGTGAGATGTGTGTAGACACTACTAAGAGTTAATCTACGACGAATCTACCATTGGATGTTTATCCATGGGGTATACCGTTGCTTGCTGATTTCCAAATTCTGAGCTTAGGAATTTCGCTGTTTTGCTTCATCAGTGGAGCAAGCTGGGGATGGCAAAAGATACAAGCGGGTAGGCTGTGAGGAAAGCAAGGGTACCCGTTTGTGGTGATTTTGAAATAGACACATAGGAGCCGGTACGGTATAGACCGAAACAAGCTAAACTAAACCGTAAATCCAATACTCGATGGGCTGGATGTGTGTGTGTGTGTGTGTGTGTGTGTGTAGGTGTGTGGGTGTGTGTGCCATGGCTCCCCGACAAGCCTCTAATCCAGAAAGGATGAGACGGGGGAGCCATCTAGTTTTGGAACCTTCCTGTAGGACAAGTAGGTTCCAAGATTGGGGGCCTGGAGTAGGCTACAACATCCTATCCAGTCCCATTGGCATGTTGCCTCGCATGGGGCCCACTGTGTGTGGGATCGGACATGCTTGAAGGGCATCAGGTTCGTGGATTGGCAATGCAATCCCTCCAGCCTTGCTGGAAGACCTTTGATGGGGGATTTTGGGATGGTATTCCAGGTGCAGCACTGGATTCCCATGGTGTCCCTCTTGTTGTTTGTTGGGCTGGGGGCCATGTAGGCCCTTGCCCTGGTGATTGCTGCTGTAAAAAGGGGCCAAGGTGGTGGCTTGGTAGCCCCTGGCAGGAGCCTCTTGAAGAAGAGCTTGGTCCGGCGAGCCTGTCAGTCTCCTCAGAGCGAGTGTATAGATCCTAAAGAGGTTGCCAACACCACTCCAGACAGGAGGCCTGGTGGGTGACAGGAGTGGATGGGATGTAGAGATAGAAGTTGGTTGGTTTCTCATACAGTGTGGTGACCAGTTTGTTGTCATGTGTGAGGGTGATTGTCATGTCCATGAATCCACCTGACTGGAGAGTTCAGTGAACTCCCAGTGCAACTTGTACTCATTGTTGTTCATGCCTTTTGGAAGCCCTCCCACAGGCTGGTTGTCTTCCATTCGCAGTGCCATATGCCGAAGAACATCATCGATGTATCTCCTGTAGAGCTGCAGAACTGCAAGACTAACCATGAAGGATCGAAGCAGAATGGACTCCAGGTGGCAAAGTAGATGGTGGCATAGGGTGGGCTGGTGGGGCTCCCATTGCAGTGCCTTGAGTTGCCGCCATGTGGTGTCACCAAGTGGAAGAAGCTCCATCCATAATGAGAATCAGTGCCTTGAGGACTGCCTTTGTGGGCAGGTCTGGGAACTGTTTTTGGTTGTCTTTGAGCCACTTTGAGATCTTGTGATGGCTGTCCTCGTGGGAATGTTTGTGTACATTGAGGGAGCATCAGCTGTGAAGAGTTTGCATTGGGTGGTAGCTGCAGGGACATGAGCTCCTGTTTGAGATCAAAGGAGCTTTTCAGGTAGGATCCCATTGACTGAGCAACTGGCTGAAGCTTGGAGTCAACCAGATGCCCAGCCCCTCCAGCAGGCTGCCACTGTAGGGGACAATGGGCCTGGTTTTGAGGGGTGTTTTGTGGACTTTCATTGTCAAGTAGAAATAAGAAATGGTTCCTCATTCTTCTTCATCATAGCTTTGAGGAATTTTCTCTCCTTGTCAGTGCAGGCAGTGCTGCCATAGTTCTTGAGCCACTTCAGGAGACGCTGTTTCACTTTTGTCTTTGTAGTGCTCAACCTTGTGGGGTGGGATGAATTCATAGGTGGTTTCATCATCAAGGTGATCGCGGAATGCATGTTCAATGTAGGCATGCCGTTCAATTGTCGCTGGGCCCAGGTTCTTGTCACATTGGACGACCATAAGGGCATTGTTGCGTCTGAGTTGGCAGAGGGCACGCCGCTGGTGGGGCAGAAGGTGGCTCTGCCTCTCTTCTTCGGCTGAATTTGCTCTGGAGGAAGCTGCTGAAGCGCTGAAGGCGCTGGTCTATGACTGGAGTGGGCACCATATGGGCTGGTGGAGCCAGTCAGACTGCAGATGCATTCGTGGATTGTATTCATCACTGCTATTGTTATTGTCTGTGTTGTCCTCCTGCATGTGGCCAATACAGAAGGCTTTCACCCTCAGGTCCCTGGAGAACCTGGTGAGGGTGCTTGATTGATGTCATTCCAAGTGTGGGAGTTTAGGTGTAGGAATGAATTGTGGCCCAGGGCCAACAGTGAGTAGAGGCCTGGTGGGGCTTAATTGTCGTGGTAAGTCGTGGTATGCAAGATTGGTTGGCCTGCAAAGTAGTACCAGGCCGGCTATGAAGGAGTCTAGTTTGTACATTGTGTGTTAGGTGGAGGTCGGCGGTCTGAGATGTAGCCATATGTAGCTCTATTCCTTGTCGATCGCCTGGAGGACCTGCTTTTCCTGGTGTTGGAGTTCTTCCTCTCTGCTGGGAGAGGATCTTCTGGAGCGGCCTCTGGTCGATTTGTGGAGCTCTGGAGGTGCGTTGCCTCTTCCTCCGGGTCTTCCTCTCCCTTTCCCTCGTCCTGCCTGCCGCCGCGGCCGCCTTTGGCGTGCCTCTGCTTTGGCTTCTTGGCGGTTGCCTCTGGGGCGGACTGTGACCTTCCTCGTTGGGTTCTGCCGCCTCTGGCGGGCTGTTGTGGGTGGGAGATTTCTTTTTGTTGCTGGAGGCGCCTCCCTTGGGCTGGGCCCCTCCTGTTGTTTTTTGAGCTGTTGTTCTTTGATTGTGTTGGCTGTTGGTGAGCGCTGGGTGACAATGTTTGCCAGTGGTCTCTGGCAATTTGCTTTTGAGTTCTGTTTCAGTTCCTCCGTTACCATTTTCTTGACCAAATCCTTGATCTGTTGGGGTCAGAGTGCAGGTTTACTGTCAATCTACCATTGCAGTGTCCTCTGTGCCTTGGTTGTGTAAGGCCTCTTTGTGTAGCTTCTTCGAGAGCAGGGACTTGACATTGGTTGAGGATTGGTGCTGGTAACTGGTTAATGGGCTGTGCAGAAGACCCCACTAGGTGGATTGGGGAGGGGCCCCCTTTCTCCGCTTCATTGGCCACTCTGGATGGAGGCTGCTGGCTTGTCTGCATGATATGTTGTATCTGCTTCTGGAACTGTGCAGTGCCTGTTGGTTGTTGCTGGAGGGCCTGCTGGTATGCAGGAGCTCCTGCTGATGTTTATTCCATTGGGTTTGGTACTGTCCAGTGCATGTTGATATGTTTCAATTGCTGTTTGTAGGTATTGCTGTGTCATGGTCTTGTTCACAGCTGAGACTGTGCTCTCTCTTTGGCTTCATTGTAGTCTCAAAGGACTCGGCACCTAGCACCTCGTGCTAGTCATCGCTGGATGTGTTCCTGGGTGGGCTCGAGGTCGCTGTGGCTGGAGACAGCAGTCAATTGGTCGATGGAATAGGGGCCCTGCAGGGGCGGGGAGGCGGGGGTTCTGCTGGCTGGACAGGCACATGTGTTGTTGGCTGAGCAGGTGCCACAGGTGGCTGGGGCTGTTGCTGAATATCAACTACTGGTAATGGGTCAGGCAGGGTTGCAAGACATTGGACGTTAATGTATATTTTTCTAAATGCTGCTAGGTCAATGCCAGTGTGTTTGAGCAACACCTCGTTGTGTGCCTCTAGGATGGTGTGGACGATTGCATGGCCATTGAGATTCTCTCTGCCGCAGATGCCTTGTGGCCTTTGGCAATGGGCAGAAGGCCTCTAGCCAGGGACTCGCCTACGGCCTTTTGAGCATATTGGACGTCCAGTTTTTTCTTTCGGATGAGAATTTTTTCTTGGGTTTGTTTGTAGAGTTCAACAGCTTGTGTGGATTCTTGTTGGGGAGCTTGGAAGCTCGCATAGCTCTCCATTGCTGGGTTTCCAGCCTTCAGTTCGAATTTGATATCGACTGATTTCGGAATCCTGGACGGGGTCAATTCCCCGTTTTGGTTGTTGCCAAAAAAATTTTCAATTTTCATTTTTTTTACGTCG